GCTTTCAAATAATAAATTAAATTAATAAATTGAATTTACATATTTATAGGTACGTGAATAGAATTTCCATATTTATATAAATTTAAATATGAAAAATAAAAATATTTATTATACAATCATTAAAACTTTTCTGACCCACATAAGTATGTTCATAAATTTTTCATTTCATATTTTAGTATGTGTAGATTCCTGCGAATTTTGTGATTCATTGAATAAAAAACGAATAAATTTCAATTTGATTTTAAATTCTTCATTTTCTTGTAAATTTCCTGTGGATCTATTATTTTAATAAAGTCATCAGATCAAACATTTCTACTGTCAACGAATTTAACGCTGTGAATTCGTTTCGGTCGATGCGACACAAAAACCGGCACTAAATTGTAAAACTAATTTCATGTAAAACGTTTTGTAAATAAGATCTTTTTCAGCATCAATGATTTGTTCAATTATGATTGAAGCAAATCAAATGAAAATAGTATAATTGGTTGAGATATCTTGAGATTGTTTGTGTTGCATTTGAAAATCAAATTTATATTTATTTTTTTATTAGTTATAAATTATTTCTTAGGATTTCGTACCAAAACTTTGTTTTTAATATAAAATTTGCATTGGTTTTAATTACACAATTTTCCATATATTTTCAGATATATTATCTGAAATCCAACTTACTTTAATTTTTATTTCATTACATGTTTAAAAATTTTCAAAATTTTAAATAAAATTGTATTGAATTTAATTAAAATATATAATGTAAGAACTTATAACACCCAATGTCGAATTCATTTCATCAGATTTGGAAATTTTATAAATATTACGATATATGTAATAATCAACTTAATCATTAAGAAATCTGATTTAGGAACTTTTGAAAATGTGTCGCAATAATTTTGAAATCTTGATACTCATCAAGTCTCTATATTTTAAAACGATTTTGTTCCATTCTTATATATCTAAATTTTAAAAACATCATATATATTTCCTATCACAGAATTTTAACGCATAAATACTTTGTGGTATTATAAGTTTGATAAATACTCTACTCATTAGATCCATCCAATTATTCCAGAATATTTCTAATGCATTGTGAATATAAATTTATTTAAGATTATATACAAGGCAAAGAAAATGGTTTAGAAAGCAGAGATGGATTTTTGAAAACGTAAGATAAAATCTAGAGATAATCGAAAAAATATGGATTGCTTATAGTAAATAACTATTATAAACCCATTTTTGTTCAGATTGTACTGACTTTTCTGTTTTGTTTATTACATTTGTTTTTAAAAAATCTGACCCTGCAATTTTTAGCAGATACTTTTATTGAATATCCTAAAATTTTATCGAGGATTTTCTATGTGGAATATTATGACGTAATATATAAAATAACTGACAATAAGATGTAACAAGTTGTAATTATTGCACGGAATTCAGGTAAAAAGGATCAGTATAAAAATTACCTGATCGTGAGACAAGGGGATGGACAATCTTTCTACTATTTACAAATATTTATATTTATACTATTATGTATATACATATATATATATATATATATATATATATATATATAATTACATTTTTTTTAATTAACATGTTAATTAAAAAATGTGAAGAGGTATATTTTGGAACAAAGCAATGAGCGCAACACCACATGTTGATATATAACATTGATAAAAAGCAACTTGGTAGGTGATTCAAATAATAATAATTAAATATTGGTTTTAATTATTTATTTTTTTAGGTACGTGATGTTAGAATATATTGACCATATAAAATTTTGATTGGTATAAAAAAATATGACAACTATCCTAGTCCGACTCTATCTCATACCGAAACGATACAGTTTTGAATCCCGGAACAAATTTTTGAATAAATCGAAAATATCCAACAATGGGTAATAAAATCGATCCAATGTAATTATCGACGTCGACAAGACGGCGTTGTCCTCTTTAGATACGCACGAGTATTTCCATCATCAGAGAATGATTTGTCAGATGTAGAAACGAAGGAAAAGGTAATTAGGAGTCAAATCTTGGGATATATTCATGATAATATATTTTTATTTCATTATTAGTTTATAATAATACGTGAGAGAATCCTATGCATGGCTAACAAGTGTAACAATTTGTTATTATGCAGTCTGTGACCACATTTACCATTGAAACGTGCAGATGATTAATTAAATAACTGGAAACTTATAGCTTTGGAAAATCAAACTTATTAGAATAAGCATCTATGGATCCGCGTAACTTTCAGGTTATATCCTAAATTTTCCGATATTTTACTAAATAATTATGGCTTTTTTCTAATTATGACTTCACATATTTCATTGCTGCCAAAAAGTGTATGCCAACATTTTTTTCATTTGCATAGGCTTATGGTTTATGATTACTGATTTTTTGTTTTCCTAGTTTTTTAGATGTAAAACAAAAATTCTGCCCATGGAGAGTTAATTTTCACAAAACCTGTAAATTCCACCTTACATATCAAGAAATCCAATAAATTCTCTTAGTTACTTAGCAATACTTTAAAAATTTTAATACAATATTAGATCAAAATATTTGTTTTTAACAGCATTTACTATTTCAATAGTATACCCTGATAGGTATTACTATTGTAATAAATTCACATACAATGAATTTATGACTATTAACTGTATATAATACATATATGCGATTATATAATCACAGCAGATAAAAAATAAGCACATTTTTAACTCCTTAAAAAAGCAATCAGGATGCAGTAATATCCCATAAGCTATTGTAATATATAAACGTATGTACAAATAGAAAATTTTAATGATTTTATTAAAATCTTATACATGAAGGAATTTGGATTAAAATTTGCCTGTAGAAAATTCATATCCGTACAGCACTTTTAATAAAAAAAAATTATGCTTTAAGATATTACGTAGATTACGTAGTATGGATCTTTATTTTTCCATTTACTTTGCGGATATTTCTTATTTCCAATTCAATTCCGTTAATTTAAGTTCCGAGAAATTCTCTGATCGTTCCCAAAAATATATTCGTAAAATAATTGCGCTCGCTCAGTTTTTGGTCATTTCTAAGAACTTTTAACAATGCTGCATCTTTTCATTACAATGAGATGCGCCTTAAATAGCATGACATAAATGATATTCATTTAACTAATTGTTGCAATTTAGTTTTGCAGAAGAAAACACATAAGTATGCTTGGTTTTTATTTAAATATCACTTCGTGTCGATTATAATAATTACTTCCAAGAATACTGTTTTACAAAATCGGTAGTGAATTTAAACTGTGTACTTTGCTTATTTTCTGTACGCAATTGTAACTAAACTAGGTAAATTTAATTTGTTTATATTAATAATAATTTTATAACCAACAATATAATTTACTAAATGATATAAATTCTCAAATTATTAGCAAGAATATTCTTAAACTACTAATTGAAATGGATGAGAGTATGTATATATTATCATGATCTTCTCAGCAGCAGTTATCAAAATTAACTTTTAAGTTAATTTTTATAATTTTGAAATTGGATTATATGATTCGTACTATTATTACTCGATAAAATAAAGACCTTATACAGTTTTTTTTTAATATGTTTTATTGACTTCTATTTAATAGTATACAGCCCTCCCTTATAATCTTATATAGTTAATAGTTGTATTTTATAACATTTATAATAAATCAATCCCTTATTAGTAACTTCTCTAAGGTGAAGCTTGTTTACGCCAGAAAATTTTATTTGCTGATTTTTTGGCGTTTCAAGTCGTTCTGAATCGTTTGACCTCAACATTGAAATAAGTAAGTTTGTGTTTATGTGTGCCAAAATCTGATCTTTTGAATCGATTTCTCAAAAAGAGCTAAAATTCATTTAGTATTAATTTTCCCGATGTGAGCAATAATTAAATTATGAAGATAGTTAAAATAAGATATTAAATATGAAGATAAAATCAATAAAAATTTATATTAAGCTATTTATAAAATTTATAAAATTCTTACTGATCCACCTATTTAGATAAAATTGTTAACTGTTTATTTCAAAAATAAAGTTTTCAGTTTCACACAAAACTCATCCATGCAATTTAATATAAATTAATTAAATTCATAATTCCTCCAATTGAATTAATTATTGAACACATTTGATTTTACTTCATATACTAAAAAATTAAATGTGTACGTTAACTGTAATCAGTAGGAAATACAGAATAGAACATAGATGACGCTGTTCTAAAAACCAAGCTTCAATGAATGTTAATAATGAAACCACTTCTCGTAGGTTTATAATATTTTAGTACATTTAGAAAATGAAAAAATCATCAAAAATAAATTGAACAATGTACAGACTGGTGTTTACAAAAACGCCGTAAACCGAATTACGATTACAAAAGATCAAATTTTGTCACACATACACATAATTTTTTTCAAATGATGTGGTCAAACGATTCACAATTACCTTAAACGTCTAAAAAATATAAAATTAGTAAATCGGACCTACTGGCGAAAATTAACTCTTTCCGGAAGTTAATTCACAAATGATTTTAATAAATTGCATAGAAAGCAATAACAACTTTTGAAAAAAAATATTTGTCTTGAAATTTGTTAAGTCAACACCTAAAAAAAATAACTCGTGTAAAAATTCGTAATCTGGCAACAATACACATGTAGTTTTCCAAAATGGCGTATGAGCTTTTCAATTAGAAGTTTAGCAAACGGCGTGAAAATCAATATTTCGTAATTGTTATTCATTTTGCGATTTCGTTTTTGCATATAAACATTTGATATTCATTTAATTTAATCCTCAACAACATCGCAGCACCCCCGAATGAGGGGTGGAGCTTGGTGACACAAAAAGGGGCTGGCTAATTTTTAATCCTTTATAAAACTGACCTCCATCCCGGGAAGGATCAGTACCAAATATTACCTTGAACTGTCAGTGTCGGAAATAATTTGTAAAAGAAATAACAGATAATTTAATTGAAAAAAATAGTGTATAGTTATTTAGAAGAAGAAATATGGATATCCATCCAGCATATTTTAGTGTAAGTAAAATTTATTGTTCTTTGAAAATCGAAAATACGGCCATAATGAAATTGCAATTGCTTATGAGATGATTCTCGTACCCTAAGTTTCCTAATTTCAATTTTTATATAAAAATATTTGATATTATTTTATTATTAATAATATTTATCAATCTAATCGAGACATTTTCAATAAATTTTATTCAATCATAATGATATCATTTTTGCTTGTAAACTTTAATTATTATGTATGTATGTAAGAGGTTCTAGAACCATAATCAGTTGCAGTATTTTCTTGGCAATTTTTTTCTTTAGTTTAGAAAATTAAGAACAAATGATTAACTTAAATATATATTATTTTATAATATATTTATACTCAAATAATATATTAAGTACATGGTTATAATATATTTTTAGTTTTGCACCACAAAAAATTTATAATGTGAACATGCATATTTAATAGCCGATTTTTCTATATATATATATATATATATATATATATATATAATTTTAATATAATATATATATATATATATATATATATATATATATTTAAATTTATATATTCAATACTGTTTCTACTACGCCGATTCAAATGTTATTTACCGTTACTTAGACATCAGTCGTCTCGTTACCTGTTCAGGTAACAATTGACCTGGTTAATCTATTTCACCGCACTCATAATACCCTTCTTTGATATTGCACAGACAATAATAAAAGCCCAACTTTGAATAAATATATAATACGAAGTATTTCTGGATTTTTTGCTTAATAATATTTTTGGAAACGTCCGTAAAATTTTTGCGCAGTACCTGAACCAATAATCGTATCCTTTAGGTTTAAACTTGTTGTTGAAGATTATATAAATTGTGCATATAATTTTTGACAACGATTTGTAGGACCTTTATAATTTGCAAAGCGATTTCACTTTGAAAATTATCGGTGGCAAAATATTTCATTTGTCACATTATAATTTACAGTATTCATTTTCCGGTAATTCAAAATTTTCGTTATATCATAAATATTTAAAAATAGAAAAAAACTATAACATGCATTTTTAATTGATTCATTTTTAATTGTAGCGAAGAGATCCGACCAGATATAGCCAGCAAATCAAACGGACCGCCAGGTGTTCCAAAGGCATCCATTGTGACAAACAGCACCATTTCCCTCATAGTGCAAATTATTGTCGCGTCGACGAAGATATTGAAAAATTTGGAGAGGCACTTAGCAAAATAATTGTTGACTCTCTACCACCACGTAGTTCCAGCCCAAAACCCTTCCCAGAGAAAAAATCCTCAGAATATGCAAGGTAAATATATATTTTTAAATTCTATTTTGTTACTTTTTAGACTACATGCTGTACGCGTTTTAAATATTCTGCAATTTTAATTATTGATACAACGTAACATAAGATAAAGAAAATTGCAATGTATTACAAGAATTTCGTGTCGTACTATAAAACGTATAACGGCAATACATATTTAATTAATAATAAGAGCATTTATTTCTTCAATTTTCAGCATGTATTAACATATATTTTTATTACAGCCAGCAATTTGATGAAAAGCAGTACTTGTTTTGGGCCGATGAATTCGACAACAATATTGGCCCGATGGCCACAAATGGAGACGTTATAGCAAGTGCAACAACGCCTACATGGTTTCCACGATACACATGCTTAAGCAGAGCTAAAGAAACAACCAGAGACAAGCGCCCAAAACCAATTTTAACAGCAGAAAAACCTCCAGTAGTAAAAGCTCAGGCAGCGGTTGAAACGCCTACCAAGACATCATTTTTATCCCGTTTGCAAAGAGTAGTCAGTCCAAAAGCTAAAGTATCGCCGGTCCAGGCTTCACCAGTACGAGCCACACCAGCTCGAGCTACACCAACGAATGTTCAAAATCTATCCCAAGAGAGAAAAATCGACTATTTTGACAGAAGATTATCTTCTGCTTTTCGCAGCTTGAAATTGACGACGGCCAAACCGAAAGAACAGCCTGCGATGGCCAAGCAGAAAGATGTAATTGTTAGTCAAAAATTATCAAGTCCCAATAGGATTGCAGACAGAAGAATCTCGTTGCAACCCCAACAAGTTCACCACATACATAATATTTATTCAACTACTTCAACTAAGACTGAATATACCAGGTTAGTGAATCAAAATGGTGTTTTGCCACAAATGCGCACAGGATGGCATAATGGACGGCATATAGAAATGAATAACTATATCAAAAATTTAAATGAACCTTTTTGTGAAGTAGTTCAATATAAGCAATTACCGACAATTAACTACAACAATCGTCTTGTTAATATTGATGCGAATGCCAATATTTGGTATTAGTGGCTTTTTAATGAAAGATTTGAGATAATACTGTTATTAAGAATATACTATTTTTGTATTTAAATTTAGCTTGATAATGACAATCATGATTTAATCATAAAACTTGTGCAATATGTAGATCATAAGATATTTCTTTAGTTTAGCTATAACTTATATAATTTATTTATATGAAACAATGTATTGTAATGAATTATTAAATACAGTAGTGCTGTGAATATTATACTTAATTGTAATATATGTTTTGTAATAATTTGTCATATTTCTGTGATGATTAATAAAGATTTATAAAATATGAGTACTGGTGCTAGCAGTAAGAGAATATATATTTCAGGACAAATTTATATTAAAAGGCTACAAAAACCTTTCATTAGTTACCATTTTTGTTTGAATACGCAGAGAAATAATAAGCCATACTGGGTCATTGTCTCATTTTAAATGTTTTCGCAAAGTAAGTTTAGTTTGATTTTCAATGGTAATAAATGGCAATAGTTTGGAAATATACATTAACTTTAGTCAATCATAAATATAAACTTGAAAATTAAAATTCGTTTATAATAATTCCATATTGTGTATTAAATGTTTAGTAACATTTCTATTTGTGACAATGGATACTGCACCAAATAGATTTTTTGTTCAAATAAGTTCTACAGATTTTTTACTGCAATTTTCTTTTCTTCTAATCTAAATTTCTCTTCAAATCTGTAATTGAGTCCTCAAATCAAAATATATGCGAAGATCTTGACATATTCCACGTAAGCACCGGATCTATGATTCAATTCTCGACTTCGGGCTCTAAAGTAAGTTCCTCGGCAATACATGCCAGAGCCAATACATCGCATTCCATAGGCGGTTCAATATTCTCTAGATTATCAGTGGAGGAGCTAGTTCCATTTGATGTATTATTCTAATAATTTTAAAACGTTAGAATAAGTATTTTTCTAATAAATATATTTTTTGTTATTAACAGAGTGAGTGATAATTATATATATATATATATGTTAAATATGAACAATACAACACTCAGTTTTTGAACACACACTTTATTTGGTAATTACCGATGTTTCGAGACAATGGCATGCATGTCATATGTAAACAAGAGGAGTGCGTGATCGCATACTAAAATCAACAATATGAAAACAGATTAATTTATTGAAGAGAATTTACATTATAATAATACCCATCCTGTTCTCCATCTTGATACTTAAGATTTGTTTAGAATATTTCTGTAAGTGTCACATGTTTTAGTACTGAGTCAAGCATTGCAAGGGATAGTTGGTGATTTTTGTATATCAAAAATTAAATGTAATTTAAATAAAATATTAAGGAATGTGTAGTATATAAGTAACTGTTTTTGAAATTACACTGAAGATGAGTCATACCATGGTCTCGAAAAGTCTGTAATTACATAATAAAGTGTGTGTTAAAAATCTGAGTGTTGTATTGTTCATATTTAATATTTAATATTGGTTCCACTCATATCACAAATATATATATATATATATATATATATATATGTATATATTATCCAGATAAATATGTTAAAATCAACATCACCACAATATACAACATTTGTCTTTCAAATAAAATTTAGATTGATCTTGTTTATTACTATTTAGTTAATATTTTAAGTATATAATTTTATGATAGTCATCAAAAATATAAGCGAGTGGACTATTATGTGCATCAAACTCAACACTATATGGTTAATAATTAATAATGAAATTGTAAAATTTATTCTAGATTATATTTATATGATGAGTAACTTAGAACTATATTTTTCCTGGCATTAATAAAATAAACTACGCACATTAGTTGATGTTTCATAACTTTTGTCTTCAAAAATCAGATCTTTCAATCCAATTTCCTCACAAATCATTCTTATTGGAATTTGTCTAATAGCCGAAGATAATTCAAAAGACGATCGTCTAGCGTGCTGCAAAGCACCTTGCACCATACATGGTTCTAGGTCACAAAATTCACACCCAAATACATCACGGCCAACATTAGGAGGATCGGTTCCAAATGAAAGATCAATCAGGTTGGGAGTATTTTGAGTTGGATTATGAAGATGAGGGGAACTGGTATGGAAAATTCATATGATACGCTTATAAAAGTGTTGAATTTAGTTTAACAAAATATACTTATTTCAGAAGTAGAAGTTAGGACAAAAAATATTTTCAGTCATAAAAAAGATCTAAAAAAATTCCAATGCTTCTTTTGACACAAAACATGTAATTATCATAAATATATTTAATCCATCAAAGTGGAAAAAAAACTTAAATATTGAGGTCAGTACTTTGTATACTACAAAAGAGGTTTAAAATCATGCGTACCTCAATTCATTTTCTATTTTATATTTATAATTATTCTCATACCTAGAAGAATTATTCATGCAGCTGTCTAAGTTTTCAAAACAATTACTAGTCGTATTATTAGAAGATTCTGATGTCTGCTCATTGGCTTCATATACATTTTTGATATCCATGTTTGAATTCATGTCGCTGCCTGATTCCTGAAAAAAATGATTATAAGTTAAGACTTATTAACAAATTTCAAACAAGTAATATTATTACATATAATATAGCAATGCAATATTTGTTTTTAGAAAACAATTGAATATTGTATATAGCATATTTCTCTAACTTTTTTAGATTGAAACAAAAGATATTATACTTCAAATTCTATTACATGCATTTTTCATTTTACATTAATGATCATTAAATGCTTGCTTAAATATTTAAGTTGTAATTATTCCAAAGTACGTTTTTTACACTTTAAATTTAAGAAAATATTTAAAAAATGAAATCATTGAGCATTTTGTTTCATAAAGTGAAATTAGGCAATTTGGAAATATGGTTTTCATTATATTTATCTATTACATATTAAGAAATCTAAAAATACTATTTTGAACATATCTCATGGTTAACTAATTAATAAGTTAAATAGAATGCTTCGAGGCTGCTTAACCATGAATAAAAGAAAAGACCGAAAGGAATGTAACTGATCACGATTAAAAGTAGATAATGGAAGTTTTAATGTATAATATATAACATAGCTCACAAAATGATTGTGTGTTGAATCGAAATCAAAAAGAATAGTTAATAGCATTGCATGTAAGTGAAATCAATAAGGTACATATATAGATTGCATATAAATTACCTTTCAATTTTAAAATTGGAAAATGGCAAATTATATAAGCGCTTGAATAAATATTAATACGAAAGTAGAGCTTTTGTATTGATATTTGCAACGCATTACTCATTTTAATATGTCTCATCTTGTTGTATTTTAAAATATTTACGATGATCATTAATTTGAAAATATACTTTTTATCATATCACAGACTATTATTCAATAAAATACTTAAACGAAAAATGCACTTCGACACTGTTGATCGTCCACTCTAAACTTTGAAAATATTTTCAAGAACCCAATTTTAATTTCATGATTTTATAATCAATTTTTAAGGAAATTTTGTTGTTATTTCTAACCTTTTTAACCTACAAATTTCGATATTTTTGTATTGGCTGTTCTGTGAATTTGACAGGTTGGAAAAATACTTCAACGGTTTTAACCAGTGAACGCTGTCAAAATATAAATATAATTAAATGTCAAATTCTGTGATATTATTATTGTCGAAAACGTAAAATTAAAGCACTTAAAAATAAATAATTCTAGGAAATCTTCAAAAGCCTAAGCCTCTTCAAAAATTTTCGATATGACTGAATATATTGAGAGGATAGACTTAAAGATTGTAAAATCAGAGTTACAATCAGCTATTTATGAATGTTTTGACAGAGGCCTCGAACAAAATGCAAAATGGTTAGCTGATTTAAATTTTGGTCTTTCATCAGTGCCTCTAGACGATGTTGAAAACTCAAAACCTGTAAAGCACGATGATAGGGCTGCATACATTTTGGGAAGGATGTATTTTCAATGTCAAGAATATGATAGGTATTCTATATCTAAAATTAAAAATCTTATGTACCTATAAGAACCAAAAATGAACTCTTTTATTTATTAGAGCAGCAAATATTTTGGAACCGTGCACAGATGAAAAGGCAAGGTTTTTATATTATTATTCTAAATATACTTCAGCCGAGAAGAAAAAGATAGATAACCTGAATGAACCTACAGTATCCTCAGCTTACAATAATAATATTCATAAAGAATTGTACAATATGTTGAAGGTAAGTTGTTAAATAATTATAAAACAAGTTGATTTATTACTAAGACTGTGATAATTTTAGTTAGAAAGAGAGACTAATAGTTTAGATGGTTATTGTCTTTATCTATATGGCATAGTTCTGAAAAAAATGCAATTAAATAGTCTCGCTGTTGATATTTTAATGGAATCGCTAACCCTTGTACCCACATTATGGGGAGCTTGGTTAGAACTTGCACCACTCATCACAAATAGGTAATCGGATTAAAATGTTATCATGAATTAATAATTTTTCATATAAATATTGATTTGATTAAAGGTTACAATTAAATTCTTTGCAATTGCCTTCACACTGGATGGTACCATTCTTCTTGATTCGGGTGCATCTCGAACTCATCCAGAATGAAGAAGCCATTGAATTGCTTAGTGCACTACAAAGATCTGGTTTTGATAAATGTAATGAAGTGTTAGCTCAATTAGCTGTTGCTAATCATAATTTAAGAGGTATTATTTTTTTATTAGTTCCTTATGAAGGTATTATTTTCAATTTGATTAACATTGTCTGATAATTTTTAGATGTAGATAAAGCATTAGAGATATTCAAAAAATTAAGAAATGATGATCCATATCGACTTGATTCTATTGACATTTATTCAAATGTGTTGTATGTAAAAGGCTTAAGAACTGAGTTAGCACAACTTGCACATGCTGCTGTAGATATTGACAAATATAGGGTTGAGACATGCTGTATTGTAGGTAAGTATATCGCTAAATAAAAATAGGTTTTGAAAATTTGGATCTAAAAAATGCTAAAACAGATTTTTATTTTAGCTAACTATTATAGCATCCGTCAAGAACATCAAAAGGCAATTTTATACTTTCAGCGTGCACTAAGGTTAAATCCCCATTTTCTATCCGCTTGGACACTTATGGGTCATGAATTTCTAGAACTGAAAAACATTAATGCTGCCATTCATTGCTATAGATCTGCCATTGGTAAGTTATAGTTAAAATTCAATATAGTTATAATATAATGAGATGCCCTATTTATATTTATTATTACTTTGTAGAAGTTAATAAAAGGGATTTTAGAGCATGGTATGGTTTGGGTCAAACCTACGATATTCTTAAAATGCCTTTCTACTGTCTGTATTATTACAAACAAGCACAACAATTGATGCCTAATGATAGTAGAATGCTAACTGCTCTGGGTGAGGCATATGAAAGATTGGAACTATACCAGAATGCATTAAAATGTTACTATAAAGCTCATAATGTTGGGGACATTGAAGGGATGGCTTTGTTGAAATCTGCCAAATTATATGAAAAGTTGGGAGAACGAGACAGTGCTGCAGCAGCATATACTGAATTTTGTTTAGATGAATTCCGACCGGATAATGTGGATTTACACAGTGCTCATAAGTTTTTAGCAACATATCATGCTAGTATAAATCAGTTTGAGAAAGCAAGTCATTATGCATTTAAATGCTTAGACCATGATGATGTTAGTATTTGCAAATATATGCTATATTAATTTTTTTATTGCTAGATTAGAACAAATGTAACAAATGTTTTATTATTGCAGAATAAAAATGAAGCAAAAGCTTTACTTAAAATGATCGCATTTAAAAGAACTGAACAAAATGACACTGGAAAAATTCCCGAAAGTGGGACTATCACAGAAAGTATTAACATGGATGAAAGTGAAGTAAATGAAAATACACCTTCAGGAGTTTAATTAATGTTTATTGTATATTATACTAATTATTTTGTATTAATAATATATAGATAAATAAATAATATTTGTTTTTTCACTTTTTGAAATAATAATGCCAGTACCAAAAAAAGTAAAGTCATGTTGTCATGGAAACTAGATTATATGTCAACATAGTTCAAATTGAAAACAAATGTAATGTCATTCTGTAACAGATATTATAGATAAAAATGTATTTATTAGGTCAAAAACATTTATCAGCTTCTGAAAAGCAATCTAAATTTATTTTTGAACGTGTTTCATTAGTAGAGAAACACTTTTCTGAAGTTTGTGCGAGTCTCAGTGCATACACAAGAAAAGCTGCAAGGTATAAGAAATGTATAAGATTTTGTCTTCCATATTTAATTTTGTTTTTCTTCAACCATATCAGAGTTCGAGACAAAGGTGATGAACTGGCTAAATCATTTCAGAACTATGCAATGTCTGAAAAAATCAATATATCGCTTAGTAAGGGCTTACTTAATTTCTCCCGAGCTTTATCGTTACTGTCCGACCACCGAGATACTGAAGTCATACGTCTCGACACAAAGGTGATTCAGGAACTTGCCAATTATGATTCATTTTGCAGAACAGCAAAAGATGAACTTAAACACTCTTTAAACGCCAGAGATAAAGAAATTAGTAAAAAACGCAATTTAGATAAGATTTTAGAAAAATCTCCTGCAAATAAACAGCAAATCGTATCCTTTTCATAATCATATTAAACTTATATAGCAGCATTTCATTGAAAATAAAATATAATATTGACTTAATTCATTTGCAAAGGCTTTAGCAGAACATGATTTATCTAAATGTTCAATGGAAGTTTTAAAAACAATTAGAAATTTGGAGAAACAAACAGAAACATTTGAGAAGCAGAAAATTCGTGATGTTAAATCAGTTCTAATTGATTTCATTCAAATTGAAATGTCTCTGCATGCAAAGGCTTTAGAAATACTAACAGCTGCCTATCAAGATATTAGTAACATAGATGAGCAATCCGACTTTCAGGTAATGATGAGTGTATTATTGAAATAAAATTATTTACAGACCTTTTCACAGGTCTACTTTTATATTGTTCATACTATTATTCAGGAGTTTCAAAAGTTGAGCAGATCTCTGGATCGGGTAACTCATGTAAATCCTGATCCTATACTTTTATAGAAAATAATGATTAATTTGAACTTATAGGAATTTTGTAAATCCATGAAAATTCAAAGTTGTGAAAATTCTAATGATTGCAGTACATCAAAAACAAATTACAATTCAAAACGTTCACAAAGGCCACAGACCTCACAATCCATGGGTGATCTATTTTTTTCACGTGGATTAGATAACCAATATGATTTGGAAGACCGCTATGAGGTAGTTTGACTATTCTGCTCAATTATTCTAAAATTGTACTATATAATATGACAATTTTGATTTAATAAAACATTAAAATATTTCAGGTAGACAAGGGCAATGCGAATAGAAGTATGGAATCAATTTCTTTGGGCAGAAGTCATAAACGGCTGAATTCGGAAGGTATATCTAATGGAGATTATGAATATGAACTGAATAATGAAGATACAGATGAAGACAGCAGTGATCAAGCATCCTCCCTTTACAATTATAAATAAATATTTCCTTTACAATTAATTTATTGATCTATTATAAACATGATATCAAAACATTTAGTGTAATTTAGTTGTGTTGATTAATTCTGCAAAGATGTGAAATTAATTCATTTCAATTATTTATTACAAATTTTATGTCAGATCTTAACAATACTATTTCGGAATTACTTATCATTGCCTTCGACTCCAGCTTGGGTCATAAGATCAGCTATGTTTTTTTCTAAGTCATCAATTCTATTGCCCATATCATCAATACGAGTTATTATCTGATCAGACATGGTTTGAAATTTATCTTGTATTGTTTGAAGTAAAGATTGTACCTGAACAAAACGTAAATGAAAATAAATCAATACTTATTCTAACCTATATTGATGTAAATAAAAAACTTACGTATAATGTCAATTCTTGTATATTTTTGGGATCGTTATTTGTGAGAGCATAATTTTGTTCTATATCACTATTTACATCTGAATTAATATCAGCCATTACGATTAATAAATAGCCTATTACACTTTGTTTGTTTGGTACTTTTATATTCTGAATAGGCGTTCGGCAAGTCCATAAAAATGTCAGTGAAAACGCCGTGACTTCTCGTGGTGGCTAAAAAGTGTAAACTCGCGAGCCAAACAATATGGCGTTTGACAGGTTTTGTTTGGTGTTTTGACAGGTAACATTCGAACTTATGTTCCTTAACATTAATGAGCCTAGACAATATAATAATGAGGTAGAGCACAGGGTCCTAGACAATATAATAATTCCACATTATTATATTACAGGGTATTCCAATATTGTCTAGGGATAGAGTATAAAAATTGCTTGACGAAACATGTCTAATTTGATTTTGCAATATAATTAGCGGAAGAAGTAGTTTTTTTTTAGGCGAAACAACTAATATCATAGATAAGGAAACTATGATGAGTAATATAATAATAATTTAGTCATTTTTATTCAGTAAATTGCTATATTTTTGCAGAATATGTATTTGATCTTAGCAATAAACGTTTTATTTATTTTTATTATTTATAAAAGCGCTGTGCTGGTACGAATTTGTGGCATTTTACTGTATAGATATGGAAAAAATTGTTTCGAGATACGAGATATTCGAAATGCGAGCGTGATTTGGGAACAAATTAAGCTCGTAAGAGGTACCACTTATTATAAATATACATAGATATATCTAAAGACTTTGCTTTTTTACCGTATATATTCATATCACATATTCAAAGACTATACACATTGCCTTCTACCGTACATATTCAAATAGGTGAATTTGACAATGTTTTAAATTTCTATTTGAATTTCGCGCTTTAAATTGTACAAGTGGCCACAAACTTTTTGACACATGTTGCTAACTTTAATTGCTTCGATTGTCAAAGAAATTGTTGTGAATTAACATGTGCTCGCTAATTAAGACTTTTTAATTAAATCTTTGATTGGATTCTGTTAATTTGTACATCAACTCGTTTAATTAATTCAGTAGATAATAATGATATAGGAAATTCATCGCAAAATGTGTTGTGGAAGTACTATTGAATAGTTTGATAAGTATCTCTTTCAGGGTCTCCATTTTGAATCAATTTCATAATTAAACATTTTATTTACAGCGCCAATGTATCCTTTAATTATATACATGAAATTATCAATAGTATAATTTATATATGTGCTTTTGTAGGTTATTATTTCATTTACAGCGCCAATGTATCCTTTAATTATATACATGCAATTATCAATAGTACTTCCACCTCATATCTGTTATTATCAAAATCTAAATTCACGAAAGTCTCTAGTATAAGTCGTATGTGGTGTATTGTGCAAAGACTTTACTCGGACAATTGCAACATGTCAAATAAACTTGTAAAAGACTAAAGTTATGTAGTGGTTCTAAAGTAGTGATTTTGTGTCGAGTACTTGAGATTTCTGGAAGATGCTCCAGTGGTGCTTGAAGTCCTGGATTTGTGTTCTGACAGATGCTGCAGAGGATATCTAACAATGTAAGTTCAAAGCATGTTTTATATAAAGCGAGTCAAAGAATATTCTTCTGGAATTATATACAGGCATTTATCGTACCATATCTGTTGCACCTATAGTGTTTTAAATATTCAATATTTAACTTATTTGATTTGATTTATAAATCTTTATTTCGATACATTATTGTTTGTCATCTTCAATAAAACTATGATCTGAATAGAAATAAATAAAAAGATATTACTTATAATTTATTTTCTGAACAGAATTTACAATTATTGACCGACTTTGTATTACATGCTACTTTTTATGCTTGTAATAATAATACTTCTTATTAATTATGTATTTAATGCTTGTTTTTCATATTAAATGAAATGAATAAATGAAAATTGATTGGAAGATTTTTTGAGAATTTGTCTCTTTGTTTTCCGTTATCATTTATAAGGCAGCCTGTATTTATTTTAGTGGAATATTTTCTGGCTCGTGCATTATTAATATAGTTGTATACATATATCTGCTGAAAATATTGTTTATATTATAATAATTGAGTCAATATCATTTTTTTAATAGGGTGGGTGTACTTTATTAATTTTTAATACATAAAATACATTTTTTTTTGTTAATTCATCAAGAACTATTATGCTAATAAAAGATTTTAAAATAATTTGGCAGACATATGTGTAAAAGATGTTGTTCTTATTTAATTTGCTATGGGAAAAACATGTTGATTCAGTTTTTTTTATTTATTTATACAAGTGCCTTTTATGAATGTTTTAAATCAATATAAAACAATAAAGTTTGTACTTCTAGTATGTATCAAAGATATTGTATGTAATTTATATTATTACAATTCAATAAATAGTCAATCAGAAATTCTTTTGTTTTATAAATAGCAGATTTTGTGTGGAATTCAGAATTTTCATTTATATTAATTTTTTGTTATCAAATTATTAGTTAACCAATACAGCTTTTTGTATGTTGAAGTGGCCCTAGCACCCCTCCTTATGTAACTCCTAAATTGATGGTATTTTGTTACAAATTACAAATTTACTTTGTTACAAAATCTCTTTTTTATAACACCTCTTGTTCATTATTCTACGGAAACAATTTTTAAAATTACATTTTCAGTATCAAGAATCATGTGTTTTTCCCGTAGCTATATTGACTGCATGAACATTCTTATTTATGGATAACACGATTGTTGGTTTTGATCAAATTATTTCAAATACTCAAATACGACTTACCAAATTGTTAATTAAATGAAGCTTTTTAAAGTCTTTTATTTTATTTCAATAATTTTGAATTTATTCAGTTATATTGCTGCATAGCTAAATTATAGATTTTCATTCTTTTATTGCTAAAAACAATTTTGATCAGAACGTGCAATCAAAGTTTCAAAGAGTTGACTTGAATGATTAGACAAAACATAATTTTGTTTACAAGTTCATTATTCGATTCAATTTGTAAAATTATTTAACTCAATTTCTAAAGTATAACAATCAGCTTTAAACAGTTTTGAAGTTTTTAATGTTTAAGTTTTTGAACATTTTTTATTATTTCATTTTACAAGTTTTATTGAATTTCTTTTTTGGATTTTTCGAATAATTTGTATATTATTCAAGTCAGCTATATTTGTTTTTTTTGTCTCGATTAATTGTAAAGGTTTCACATGTTTTATCCAGTCGTATAAACAATTTTGATTCAATTAATATCATTTCATTTCATCGATTAATTAAAATAATTCTCTCGAATAATTTTTTTTTCTAAGTCCAAATTTTCTGATTATAATTCTTTCGAATATTTTTTTTTTCTAAGTCCTTTCAGATATTTTTTTTTCTAAGTCCAAATTTTCTGATTATAATTCTTTCGAATAATTTTTTTTTTTCTAAGTCCTTTCAGATAATTTTTTTTTCTAAGTCCAAATTTTCTGAAACCTTTTCAATTAAGACAGACGAGTTATTTATGCATGCTGTATTATCCCAAAGCCAACATTCGAATGAATGAGGCTCACATTGAATATTTCACAACGAGAAAATTTTATTGGGACAAAGTTAAAAATTTTAACTAAGTCCCAGTAATTTTTTCTCGTTGTGAAAATTTCAACGTGGACTTCATTTCATTCGAGTGTTGACTTTGGGAATTGGTGTGAGGGAACACTAAAAAACATAAAAAAGTTTCAACGCTGAACAGAAAAGAGAAAAATTGACCTGGGACTTAAGGGGTTTTTTTTTAGGCTCTCCACCTCCCCCCCTCCTCCTCCTCCTCCTCTTTCCCCTTTTTTTTCCCTTTTTTTCGCTTTTTTCACATTTTTTTTTCCTTTTTTGGTGTTTTTTTTCGCATGTTGTGGTTTTGGGTAGATTTCTGGGTTCGGCATGCATCTTCCGCAATGTGTCTCTCTGCGTGTAACCTCTCGCATCATGGACCTCAGGTTGACCATCACTTGGTGTGTTCGTTTCAGGACCCTTTGCGCTCGCCAACAGCCGGTCACCAGCACTGCTCCATTTTTTCTGCTTCAGAGTTGCTCGTCGTCGCCTTCAGCCGGATTCGATCCGTCTCACCTTGTGCCTCCAGAGTGATTTCACCGAGTATGCGGTCCCTTAAACCACTCGGCTATTTGAGTTATTGATGATAAAAGTTATTTTTATTCCTATATTGTATTAATATTGAATTTTAATAAAGAATATGTATCATACACATCTCTCTTATTCATCATCTGCCTCTACCCCTCTCTTTCCCCAGTTCTTCCTCTACCTTTTTTTTTTTTTTTGTTTTTTTTTTTTTTTTCTTTTTTCTCTCTTACAGTGAAGTGCGAAACTTGAGTTTTTTGTTTTTCAGAAATATACTAAGTGTCAAGGTCGAAATGCGACACCTGAATTTAATATTTTGAACTAATATTTGATAATTATGAAAAACTATACATTCGATTTTTTAAGCATCTTAGGGATTTGAACCGAGAAACACTGAGCTACCGTAGTGGTCACTTAACGATCTCGGCCAATTGGTTACACAAAACCGTAGTCTTTTGTAAAAATATAAAGTGTTATTTTCAAACTGAAAGATATAAGTTTCCTAAAAATGTAGTATGCCGAATGTGCGAATGGCCGAGGTCGTAAAGATACGGTTTAGGCCATAATATCAATTCCAAGTTCGCCAGTTCGAACCCCATTTGACTGAAAAAAATATTTGGAGCCAATAATTTTTCAAACTGTGTAAATAAATAAGACATATAGATAGAATTAAATTTATTGAGTGTCAGTATTACAAAAATCGACATAATATATATATATATATATATATATATATATATATATATAATATATATATATATATATATATATATATATATATATATATATATATATATATATATATATATATATATATAAAAGATAAGAAAAAGTAGGAGGATAATTTTTAATAAATTCATATTTACGCCTGGTTAGCAGTAAACCAAACCTACTTTGGTGTAATTTAAAAATCTTATTATTTTTTCGATAAAAAGACAGTCTATCAGGAGCAGCCAAAATTGGCCAAAATCGTGACTTTCAAATGCAATTTTAAGGCACTTAATGAATGAAATTAATAATTTTAATTAATGCTTTGTGTAGACTAAAGTACAATCTTTATACCAAACCAAAAAAAATACAAATTTATAATCGTCTTCATAGTTAAAATCAGCTTCAAAGTTGGCAATTTTTCAAACTTCAATTTGGTACCAAGGGCAGAAGAATTTTTTTTTCCAAAAACTAATTTCATATTCGGAATCAGCGCCTCGAAAACTATCAGAATCGATCAAAACATTTTGAAAATCGCGAAAAAAAATTTAATTTCATTAGTAAAATTTTGATTTTGCAACTAAAGATTTCGATTTTTTGGGGGATGTATGTGGATTTATCCAAAAACGGATGATATTTTCGAAATCAGCGTCCCAAAATCAATCAAAACCAATCAAAACATTTTGAAAATCGCGAAAAAAAGCCGATTTTTTTTAAAAAAAATCGATTTTGCAACCAAAGATTTCAATTTTTCGCAGGGTGTATGTGGATTTATCCAAAAATAGATAGCATTTTTGAAATCAGCATCCGAAAATCTTTTGGAATCAGTCAAAAAAATCCAAAATAGCGAAAACAAATCTATTTTTTTGCTAAAATTCCGATGTTGCAACCAAAGTTTTTGTTGTTTTTCAGTGATACACGCCCTGAAAGCTCGTCAAACAGGATAATTTCGTCCTTGGCCTAATAAAAAATCATCCAAAAATTTTGTCCAATAAGTTCTTGATCATAGATTTCTTTTAGTATAGGAGAGACCCAGATTTTATGGTTCCTGTTCCTATAAGTGCATAAGTACCTGTAATAAGAATAGATATTCATTCTAAGGATATACATTTAAAATAAGATTATTTGTTACTTAACACCAGACTAGTAACAATAGGTAAGCTTTGAATATTTTATTTGAAAATAAAACCACAAAAACTTAGTGAAAAAATAAAAACATTCGAATAATTTGTGGGTAAGTACAGCCGAATAGTTACATCATTTATGTTAATTGAATAACTTGATACTCGTATCATTTCCAAAGTTTTAAAAAAAGCTCTTAAAACAATCCATGGATAGAATTCATGGATTTAACTTCAAATAAATCATTTATTATAATCGAATAATTTGATATCATCACTGTAGTTATACCAAAAGCATGAATAGCAATCTTTGCTTTTAATATGGTTTATGATTTGTAAATCTAAATTTTATCTATTTTTTACCAATATAAATAAATTAAAATGCCTAGAACAAAATTTTCAAGTCGTTTGATAAATGTACACAGACACAAATTTGCGTTCCAATTAAAAATTATACGAATTTTTAGTACCCAACTCTATGTACTAGTTTGTACTAAATTCTAGTGAATTTGATATAGTTTTTACTAATGTAAACAAATTAACGTGCAAACAAATTTCCGAAAAGAAAATTAAAAGTTATTTGAAGAAAAGTAAAAACGTTTAAATTTGCGTTTCAACTGAAAATTGTTCAAAATTTTGATATGCAAGTATATAACACAATTTATACTATTTGTTAGTAAACTTCATCTAGTTTATACTAGTATAAACAAATAAACATGTTCTGAACATATTTCACAAAATGTAAAAAAACATCCAAAATCCACCTATAATCAATTATCAAACTCAAATCTGGGCTTCAACTACAAATTATTCAAAATTTTAATATAAAAGTGAATATAACAATATACATTAAATTTTAGCAAATTTTATCTAGTTTATACTAAAACTAGATGACCCGACAGACGTTGTCCTGTACCCATGTCTACAATTTTTAATATAATATACTAATATTTACCGTTTACCTAAAAATAATAATTATTATTACCTGAAAATAATAATTACTCTTCACGCCAAAATGCATATACATTTATAATATGAGCAATGTTAAATGTAGAACTGCTTTAAATAAAATGATTAGTCTCAATTCTCACACTATATTGGAAACTGAAGTTTTTTAAACGGTATAACATAACCATTACCACAACATAACACTGATACTTGTTGGATGTTGGATTAAATTAATTTAATTTTTTATTATTCAAGATATCCAAAATTGCATCTTAAAATTCTCCTAATCGATATCGTGAGGGCCGAATTGTATGTATTCATCTCTACTTTCCCATTTGTTGTTATAAAGTGAAATTTTTACGAATTGTGGAATTCAAAAATATTGTGGAAAGATAAAAATAGATGCAAAGAAATTATATATTAAAAAAAAAATATATTGAAAATGTAATATCCGAATCTTGTGTTGGCGCCCCCTAAGGCATGCGCCCGTATTTTGCGCATGCATCGCATTAAAGGTAGGACCGGCCCTGATTGATACTTAATTTCATATTTTAAATGATATAATTTGTAATATTTGTTCATATATATCATTGAATCTGCCATATATATACTGTATTTTATATTATTTTAATTTCTGACACATCTCAGTTGTCTTTCGGCAATAATAATGTGGACATTTCATTTTTCTTATTCATTATCATAAATTTATTATACATTTTCTAATATTGTCTAGGTTCAGAAGTCAATTGAAATATTTGGCAGATGATAGTTTTCATTTATTTTCAATGCACTTTATAATCACATACATCTTAGAAAATTTCTTTAACAAACTTCAGAAAGATTTATCAAAATCCGAATAATCGTTAAGGAGGAGGATTAATAAGGATTAATCAAACACTGGCAATTTAATATGAATTTTATATAATAGAAATGAAGCTCTAATTGATTCTGTTTTAGTTAGAAAACGTTTGTATGAGAAAAAGAAAAGGGCTGTTTTTAGGGTTTTTCTGGCAGTTATTCGATTTTCTCTCGTCGTTAAAACCATCTTTGGACATCAACAAAAATTTAAAAAAAAGAAACGGCCAAATTGATCTAAGCATTGTGAGTTATGCGCTTACCAACACATTTTGCGATCCATTTTCATATATAAGATAAACATATAAAAGTGTCCAGAATAAAATTTCCAAAATATTTGACAAAATGTAAAAAAACGTCCCAAACTCGCATATTGAATGCAATTGAATAAAATTTGTTTGATTAATGAAATCTTATACAGCATAATTATACTGTTAGTGTCAGGTCGCTAAAATCATTATTCTGCTTTTGAATGATATTTTAAAGTATTCCAATATTAATATTAAAAAAAAATGTTGGTAATTTTTTTAAACAAATAATTTTTATTTTATCAATTAAATTAATTAATTAATTTAATTGAAAATGGTACATATGATTCAAAAGAAAAAAACATTACTTGCAAAGAGCATTTAAGAATTTTGACCCTTTTATGATGTAAATTTTGAAATATTGATAACAACTGCACTTTTAATAAATATTATTAACACGACAATTAATACACAAATATTATTGTTTTCAAAGAAAACATTCAAAAACGTATTTCCTTGTATAAAAAACACACCTTTTGTTGAACAATGAAAAAAAGTATTTTCCTCTTTTGAAATATTTCTAACTTTGAGCTGTTTTGAAAAAGTAAGAGAAAACGAACTATTAAATTAAGATTAATTTAAAGATATCTATCCACGGATTTTTTCACCAAGTTTTTGTGGTTTTATTCTCATATAAATAACTTAATATATAACACGTTTGAAAAACACATTTGGAAATAAACAGCTGTCAAACAACTGTCAATTTGACGTTGACAGTTAACCTTAAACAATCTAATTTATTTGACGTTTTTTTTAAAGTAACAAATTCATGTATTAATCATTGTTTTGGACTTGAATGAATATCATGAAATGTGTTGAAACAGATATTTTTTAGAATTAGGCCCAACAGTTTGCCAAATTATTTAGAATACATAAACATGAACCACTTTGCCTTAAAATTAAAATATAAAACATTATTTTGTACTTACCTAAATCGTATTTTCACAATAAACACACTTCCACTTTAAATCTATTTAAATTTATGACTTGTACATTTATTATTATTATAAAGAAACAACTTGTTCAATTAAGATCCAGGCAGCACAGACTGTTGATATATTTTAAAAATATTTACAACAAAAATTGAGCATAGAGAGCATGAACATATATTTATATAGACTGGTAACATAGTTTTTAGTATCAACATTTTAGCAGTAGTTTTGTTTAGCATAGTTTTTTTTCTATTTTAATTATCTGAATTGTTTGTTAATTATCTTTAATTATTATTAATTAATCGTTATTAAAATTAATTACATAGTTTTTAGTATCAACATTTTAGCAGTAGTTTTGTTTAGCATAGTTTTTTTTCTATTTTAATTATCTGAATTGTTTGTTAATTATCTTAATTATTATTAATTAATCGTTATTAAAATTAATTAATCGTTAATTATTATTAATCTGAATTGTTTGTTATTAAGTTAATTAAGAAAACAACATTTATAAATAATTACACAAATTATAAAAATAATAATTAAATAAAACTAATATAAAAAACTAATTAAATAAAATATACAAAATATTTCTAACATCCCTCTCGACATGGATCACTTACATGCAAAAATGTATATGATAGAAACATTATTTAAATTCGCAACAATAACAACAAACTCACGATTGAATAAATAAAAGTAACATTTTGATACAAGTATATATACAAATTATGCACATTATGCAAAAAAATCAAATAATATAAATGTGTATATATGCTTGTATCAAAATGTTACTTTTATTTATTCAATCGTGAGTTTGTTGTTATTGTTGCGAATTTAAATAATTTTTAAATAATATATATATATAATGATTTATTAATTAATCTTATATATATACAGTAAACATAAAGCTCCGTGTAGTATGGGAACCATGTACCCAGAGTGCCGTGTAGAGCAAGGGTTTACTGTATATATATATATATATATATATATATAATATATATATATATATAATTGTTAGTTTAGCTCTTTATAAATCGATAAAATGTATATATATATATATATATAACATATTTAATAACACATAAAAAATATAAGGCGAGATTATTTTTTTTTATTTCAATAAATCACTAACATAACAATTATGATAAGTTTAGTATAACAATTTTAGAGTATATGTTATGCATTATTAGAACACCATAAATAAGCGTTATCAAATATTCTTTGCCAAGGGGATTTTTTTAAATTATTCCATGATGCAGGATGCCATGGCCAAGTGATCATTCTGGAGCATCGTTCAGGATGTGGCATCATTGCTAAATGTCTGCCATCTAAAGAACTGATACCTGCAATTCCGCCTGAAAATAGAAACTGCATTAAATAATAATACACATGCCACAAATTAGTTGAGTTAAATATTTTTTTATACTTCTGACAACTAGTAACATTCAAATAAGAAACTTCAACAATATTGGAAGAATGAATAAATTTAAACATATAATCTTTCAATAGAATAAATTAAATTTGGCATAACAATATTTCAAGAAAATATTAAATATAAATTAACCTGGGCTTCCATTGGGATTCCAAGGGTATTGTTCAGTTGGACATCCACTGTCATCAACATAATGTAGGCAAATAGATTTAGAAGCATTTAATCTATCAAGCACTTGTTTAGATTCAAATCTGAAACGACCTTCGCCATGTGCTACCCATACTCCAAAAACAGATCCTTCCATGCCAGAAAGCATAATAGAATTTGATGAGGCTATTTTTACTGTACTCCATCGGCATTCAAATCTTTACAATAATAGTAATATTATATAATAATTAAAAATCTTCAGATCAATTAATAAACAAGTAAAATTCTCACCTTTCTGACTTGTTGTGATCTAATATTATATCACGGTTTTGCTTCTTAAGATTCTTGTCAGGACTCACCCAGCCTAATAAAGCCATAAGTTGGCAACCATTACATACTCCTAATGAAAATGTATTTTTCCTTGAAACAAAATTATCAAATTGCTTAGTTAATTTGTTGTGAAATAGAATACTAGCCGCCCAACCTTTTGCAGACCCCAGTGTGTCTAATAAATATAAATTGCAATGAATTTATTATACAGCCAAACTTTAACAATTTCTATCCAGTAGTAATAAAAGGATTACCAGCATAACTAAAACCTCCAGGAAATACTACTCCTCGAAATTGGTCTAATGTAATTTTGTCACACAGAAGATCTTCCATTGTTATATCAAATACTTCAAAATTGGAAGCCATTAAAGAAGCAATCATTTCCCTATCCCCATTTGACCCTAAAATGAGTTAAGAATCTATAAGAAAATTACTTTCTTATAAACAAAATTTTGCATCAATTTTACCTTCTTCTCTAATTACTGCAACTCGAATTGGTGAAACAATTTTCATAAGTTTTATTTCCGTATCAGTATCAAAGGTTAATTTATATTCTGGTTCTTTTCTGAGAACAAGATTGTCCCATTCCATTTTAACTACTTCGGAATTGGCTTGTCGGAGTTCTAATTGGTAACTGGTTTCTTCCCAAATTTTCATCAAATCAATAACTGTGCTTTCTAAATAAGTTTGATTATTCACTGAAATCTGTAAAAGCATACACAATACATATTTTTTATATTTATTTATAATATTTAAGGCATACCTTAAATCATTACCAGTTATATACATATATATAACTATAAATTTTTTTAGAGATCATAAACCGAATATAAGAATATTATATTATTATATATAAAATATAATATTATATGAGAAAAATGAGACTTTTTGTAAAAATGTAATTAATGATTTGTAACATTACCTTTACTGAGCTTTGCATGCCAGATGATTTGCTTTGCCCAATATAGTGACAATCAATAGCTGACAATTTGAATAATTTTAAACAATGCTCAAAATCTGCACTTTTAACTTCTAAAACCCAACCAATCTCCTCGGCAAATAATAATTCCAAGACATTGATACTTTGAGGAACAGATATTTTAATATTCAGTCCGCACAATCCAGCAAATGCCATTTCAAGAATACATGTTATTAAACCACCATCACTGATATCATGCCCAGATAGAATCTTGCCATCTAGAAAATATTTTAGAAATAATTAGTATTCAGAATAAAACGCATTATATTAATGTGACTCACCATTTATTAGATTTTGTGTAATATTAAAAGCATTCTTCAGCTTAATTGGTTCATCAACATCAGGAGATATATCACCTTGTTGGCCAAAACATTGTGCTAAGCTTGAACCGCCTAGTCTGAATTTACCACTTGACAAATTTACCCAAATCAATGAGCATTCATTTTTAAGAGAACCTGCTTTTAAATCAGGCGTCACATGCTTTCTCACATCTGGACATGGAGCATATGTAGATACCACCAAAGTGCCAGGAGATTTTACTGTCAAACAGCAATATTGCGATTTAGTGCAAATCAAAATATTTTATTATGATTTTGTGATTAAATATATTTCATACTTGTAGTATTTCCAACCCTAGCAGCCATGCTAAGAGAATCTTTACCACCGTCTATCGCTATATTTAAAATGGTCATAATATCACACATGGCTTTGCATGCATCAAATAACTTAGCCCCTTCCCCAGGCAATTTAGCAGCCCACATCCAATTTCCTGAGCATTTAACATCAGCTAAAGAAGATATTTTAGCAAAAACCAAATTTGATAAGCTTTCTGCAACAGTCATTCTTGCACCAGCTGCAGGTGAAAGTAAACCTTTGATTGGTTGAGAACCTATTGATGTTGCTATTCCCTCCTATTTATGAAAATTCAATTAAATTTTTGCTCATAAATAATACCTACACAAACTGTATTAAATAATGGATAACTTACATTTCCTAAATGTGATACTGCAACTATAGCATAATCAGCAAGTGGTGTATGAATAGGCCCCACACATTGCTGTTGAACTATTAAACCTGTTACACATCTATCGACCTTATTTGTCAAAAATCTTTTACTGCCAACATGTAGTAACCTTAGAACACGGTCTAAGCAATTCATAACGGTTAAATTTGCAGGCAACTTCAAAGGTACCACGGGATTTTTTAAACGATTCAGATTGAATTCCTTACGCGGCATTTTACCTGCAATAGTAATTCATAAATATAATTCATTAGTTCTAATACTATAGATTTAAATGCAATAATTATAATAATAATTTTTGCTATTATATTAATTACCTAAAACTGCATCTAAATGCAAATCGAAAGGTACAGGACCCCAGGAATCTCTAGCTTTTCTATCCATATATTTATCAGCATTTTTAATACTGTCTTCAACTAAACTGACATAGCCATTACCAGTTACAATTCCAACAAAATTAATAGGACAACGTTCCCTGTTGCAAATATTGGTCAGTAATTCTCTATCTTCAGGTTTGCATAACAAAGCATTATTTTCTTGGTATTCAGCACCCCACAGCTCTAACACGCTTATCGTTGGATCACCTGAAATAATAATACAATTATTCATTATCGGGCATTAAGCCAGAAATTGAGAGATATTAAAAGATAAAAAATGGTTGCCAATTTTAATGATACCATGGACTCATGGTTTAAATTAATCTAAAATATATAAACATAAAATTTGGTTTAATTGGTTTTGTTTGCCCGGAAATAATGTGTGTGGCTTGTGACAATGTACAAGTGCTATCTCGGGCAATAACGAGCTACCCACGTTACCAATTGCAAGAATATTGTTTGCGCATTGCAATTTAAATGATCTCTTTCGGCACTGTCCAAATGCCAAATTAATCCAAATTAATTTCCTGGTTAAGGGGTTAAATTCTAAAATTTATGCCATAGAGATAGATTTAAAAACTTGACAAACCTAATTTGAAGTCTTTAACAAAGATCACGGCTCCTGCCGCACCAGGTTCAACAAGCTCTTTAAGTACATTTCCATTGCCTCCAGCGCCTTGATCGTGAATAGCCTGTATCGGATTTTTATCTCCTAATTCAATACATGCTCGGACAACACGATTTAACTTCTGTTCCATTTCTGCATCCCCTCTAAAAAATTATAGTATCCCATAGTATAAGTAAATAAAACTGTGATTTAAATTTCAATAAGACCTTTGCACTGCTCCAAAGTCCAGCTCCTCTTTGTTATCACCTTGTACTTCAACAGAACTTGCTGCACCACCTCCCACACCAATCCTATATACCGGACCACCAATTTTAACCAATAACATTCCTATAAAAATCATTTGTTGATAATGAAATTGTTCAAAAATGGAAATTGTTATATTTGAATGTAAGATCAATCAAATGTTTATCATGTCACTTTCATCATTATGCCAGATAACATGAAGTTAACATGAAAATAAATATCAGCCAAACCTTAAAATAAGTTCAGTGCAAATATTGTGTTAACTAATAAATAAATAAATTGCTTTATCTGTAACTTTTTTCATAGTATTTTAATATGTGTATTTTGAAAATTACCTTGCATTGGATCAAATTTATTTGTCATTGTGCTATCCATAAAACCAAGACCGCCACTAAACATTATGGGTTTCACAAATTCTTCTCTTTCGCCATTCGCATTAATGAGACCATAGGAATTTGCAAAACCAGTAATAACCGGTTCACCAAATTTATTTCCATAGTCAGAAGCACCATTGCTGGCTTCAATTATGATTTCTAGAGGTGAAGCAAATTTAGATGGATATTCAGCTTTTTTGTCTTCCCATGGCAGATCGTAACCTATCAAAAACAAACAAAAACTTCCTCAATTGATGTGATTTGCAATCATCTTTAATTAAAATGTTGGTTACAAATAAACTACCTGGTATTAAAAGATTTCCTACGCTATAACCAGCAGTACCAGCTATAGTATGGCCACCCCTACCAACCCCTTCAACATCTCTAATTCTGCCTCCTGTACCAGTAGTGGCTCCACTAAATGGTGCGACAGCAGTTGGCATGTTATGAGTTTCTGCAGTAAAAATCAAATCAGATGTTATTTCTTTTTTTACCATCTCACATGGTTGGCCAGGCACTTTTGGAGCAACAACCAAATGCTTGAAACCTTTAATGGCACTGTATAAAAGACAATATTATGTATTAAACACAATTAGATAAAAAAAATCCATCCTAATTAATCATTACCTGCTGTTATCGCTGAAAGCAATTGTATTGTTTTTATTTGTGTGATTCTGAGTTTTGATAATCATGTCAATTAATGAATCTGATTCTTCTTTTCCATCAATGATCATTTTTCCTTTAAAAAACCAGTGCCTTGAATGCTCAGAATTGCTCTGAGCAAGATCAAAACACTCAACAGTAGTAGGATCTCGTTTTAATTTATCTTGGAAAAGAGTGGTGTAAAAATCTAAATCCCAGTTGTCAAAGGCCAAACCTAAGAATAATATACAGATAACATAAAATTTAAAAGTATAGATTGAATGTTACAATCATATATCTTCAAATATGTTAATATATCGAAAATCTATTGTATATCTTTATAATTACATTCAAATAAAACCATATGTAACATAATATTATACTATATTTTACCAAGTTTATCATTAATATTCTCTAGTGCCTTTCGGCCTTCTTTCATAACAGGTACGACATGCCAAACATCTTCTTTCAATGGCAAACCTTCATCAAAACTATTCTTTGGCAAATTTTTGGTTGTATATTCACATTCAGTCATTCGATCATAAAGAGAAGCACATAATTGTTTCTATAATAGACAAAATTGAATAATAGACTATAATATCAATATAAAATATTTTAAATATATATTTTCATTGGATTTTTTTTTATATGTAATGATTACTAAACAAACTGAATGTGAGATTTTGTTTGTTGTTTGCTATTTAATTTTTTTGGAATTTATGATCATCGATAAGTAAAAGATTTATTATATATTGCATTTCAGTAAATAATGAGACTCATAAGTAAATTTATAAATGCATACTTACTTCAATTTCAGCATTTGGTTTATTTGAAAAATTAAGTAAGTATCTTTTTGATACTTCTAATCTTACAACATTTTTTAAGTTAACATTTTGGCAAAATTGAAACTGAATTACTCGAATCAGCAGTGGAGAAATTGAATCTGAAAGTGCAGATCAAATTTAACATGATGTTGATCATTGCGATATTATAATAATCTAATTACCTAGGTCCACATTCAATCAAAAGGCTGCAATGCCCCGGTTGTAAATGACTTATATCAGAAAACTCCTCTGGCTTTGTATTTTGTTCTACAAAAATGGGTCCTAAAAGCCATTTTAAAATATCCAATTGCTCGGATTTGAGTTGTGGACATTGCTGGTCTAATTCAACATGATAACATAATTCTGTTTTTAAATCAAGAACCAGCCCACTAATCTGTAATAAAAGCAATTTGTTTAATGTGGTACCTATAATTTTAATAACAAGTTTGCGCACTTCTTAATAATAATATAATCTTAATAATATAGCTATATAAAGTATATTACATTTACTTAAATTTTCTTTACCTTTTGCAGTTTTGATAATACTTGTTTTGTCTTCTGATCACTCAGTGCAGGTGTACGATAATATCTTATAATGGCCATTTGTGTAATTAATAACTATTATCAATAGCTACTACAAAAATTAATTACAAAAAATTAATATCAGATTCAAAGAACAAAAACCTAATAACATTAAAACATTTTTCGAATAATTAATATTTCATATCCAACACTGTTAATAGTTGAAGCAATTCTTAACGATTATGACGTAAAATTGATGCAAATATCATTCGATAATCTTTCAAAACACATTATATTAAGATCTGAATGCACATAAACAATTATAAATTTACTCAACAGGTCAAAGATTATCTTAGAGCAAGAGTAGAAAAAATAGATAGGTCAAGTATTACGTACTATTTGTAACTGGAATTAACAAATAGGATTTGAAGGAGCACACATTAACAAGAATGGAAAATTCAATTTTATAAAATATTATGCTTAGAATAGAATAAAACTTAGACTGTTTTACTTAACTCCCATGTAACAAGTCTAATAAGAAACTAACCTCTTCGTTTAATTCAAACGTCAAAAACCGGTTTGCATTCAAATTTCAGGCGCAAACTTCAAAATCATTTTAAATTTTAAATTAATTTTTTACAATTTGCTAGGTGTATCTTAGTAATTCTAATCTAATAACATTCGATTCCAACTTAACTTTTTGGCAAATTAAAACTGATTTATTCGAATCCGCAGAGAAGAAATAGTATCTAAAAGTATAAATTAATATTTAACATGATTTTGGAATAATTCAATATTGAAATAAAATAAATTACTGTCTATGTAGACCTCAATCAGAAGGTCAGAACAATACTCTGGTTGTAAATTACTAGAAATAGAATTTTATTCTGATGAATGCTAGTCAGACAGAAGGCAGGTAAATAGTGTAAAAAACACAAATTAATGATTTGCCTCCCTGGTTTATTATTACCATCACCATTTTATTACAATTAATTATTTTCCTTTCTAACTTTTGCTTCGGCTTTGAAGGAAAGAATTAAGAATATAGGACTTGGTTGACACAGGGTCGACCTATGGTCATAACAATGGGCTGTAGGTTTAACCTGAGGTCAACCCACTGATACCATATATATTAATGAAAGAAGGACGCCAATGGAGAAGATAACTTAAGTTATCTTCTCCATTGGCCTCCAGCACTACATTTCAAAACTCTCCAGATGATTTTTTTGACCTTTCTTAGAGTCCATGTCTTTGATCAGAGGTATGCTCGAGACATAGCACTTTATCAGCTTTTTCCGCAAGTCGGACTCAGTTTTCTCATCAGTAGTATTATTTTTCTTGTGAATGCCACTTTGGAGCTTGCGATCCTTGTATTTGAAATGATCCACGTTTTCCAATTCTTGATTCGATATTTTTCAATTAATCTATTTTTACAAAATATTTTCTATATATTCTTCTATAATTCTATTTCTCTGCATTTTATTATTTTACGCTATTTCAAATTTTTTAGAAAGTATTTTTCAGGAAACTGATATCGCTAATTGATTATTGCAAAATCTTCAAGAGTTTATTAATTTCATTAAATAATAATTGCATATTATTAGTATAGTATTTAATTTATTAGTTTGATATCAGTTACATTTTGTTATCAACCTAACATATTATTTTAAAATACATATAGATGTTCCTGATTTCAACCATAAATCTCGTTCTCCTGGCGTTGAAGTCATTGGCAATTCTGCTATCATTGATAATCGGTCAGATGATTCGTATAAAGGAATCAGGCAGCAGTCACCATGATTAATTTTAGATTCCGGTATCCAAAACACTGAACAAATGGGAAGGGGTTGAGAACTAGGCGAATCGGATGAAGAGGGTTGTAGTTTTCCTCTAGAAAATAAAGCTCCTTCTAATTGCAAACCCGTTATTTTTGCATGATTGGGAAAATTATGAGCATCATTAGACCACGAACAGGATAAATGAAGGCAGTTTAACGGATATCCTGATTTCCTACAATGTAAACAATTATCATATAGAACAATTAATTAGACCGCTTGAAGGACATCAAAAATTGATTTTTATATACCTTGAAGTTATTTGTTTCAGTACAATAAGAAACGTTTTCGGATGAAAAAGTAATGAAAAATCTATTATGCTATCCAATAAAGCGTTAAAGTTTTCTTCGTGGTAAACTCTATATGCTTGATTTGCTCTCTTTGTTAAAGCCCTAAGATAGCTAACTATATCAGGATATGCTTCCCCCCAAATTCTAGCCCAGCAGCTTGGTATCTACAAAAAATAATTGATATAATTTTTTAATAATTTATTTTTAACATTCGAATGATATTGTAAATGTGCAAATATAGAAAATGAAAATGATTTGTGTTATTAATATTTATTTACTTGATTATTAAGTAGACTATTCGCTAAGGTTTCCACATCCTTGTTCTTTGACATTGTTCCTCTAATCACTCGACTGATCGATGATAAATCATGATGCACACGCTGTTCAATTATATAATAATATATTTGAGAAAAAAGTATTTAGATTAAGTTAGTATATTATCATTATTATTTTTGCGAATACCTTCACTAATTCAATAGCAAATGCGCATTCACGCGATGCAAACATCTCTAACGCATTTCCAGTATCACTTTCACTGATCTGCAAAATTTTTGAAGAATTTAAATTTTGAAATAATTTTGAATTTTGATTTAATTTTTTCCATATATTCAAATATGGGGCAATGCCACGGCTCCATTCGTGAGAAATATTAGAAGACTCTTTCGGTTCTCCCAAAGAGAGACCTGAAAATATATTTAAATGATAATTTATAATTAGCAATTGATCAATTTAAATAATAAATTTATTTTCTAAATTATACACATATAACTAAAATTCAATACCAGAAAGTTTGGTCAAAATTTCTGCTGCTCTTTGCATTTCCCAGGCACATTTGATGTTCTGGGGAAGGCCGAGTAGTTTAGTGTCTTCTTCTTCAGAAAGTGCATTCAGAGCAGTGAGATGTTCCTATAATAATAACATTTGAATTATGACAAAACAGGCATAAAATATTATTGTCAATTTCTTTCTCATTTACTTTTAGACTATTGCTTTGTGGCAAATACAGAGAAGCGCCAAGTGGTTTCCAACGTCTAGTGTAAACATCGTTTGTAAAAATCTGTTCTAAATAGGAGTTCATAATTTGGGAATCCTGAATTGCTCCGTCCATTTTTCCACCATATGCTAAAGCCGAGCTCAATGAACGAAGAGTACTCCAATCAGGTTTACCTAACAAATTATTGATATTCCTTTATTCAGTAAATGAAAATAAAATACTAACTTAACAATTTTATGAATTACCTGATCGAAAACATTGGCCGATTATTTGACGGGCAGTCCACAAATCACTTTCATTAAATTCGTAGTATTTTGACCAACCCTGCGTTTAAAATATATCTTAAGGTAATAATATTTTAAGTAATTCTTAAACATAGTTCGTATAAATATATTTAAATAGGAAATTAGAATAATATAGAGGGTATAAAGAGCATAATATTATTCTAATTTTGGCATAATTTAATTTATTTTTTTATTATTTTACTCTAGTACAAATATGTAAAGTAGTTTCTATATCAATAAGCAACTTCTATATCGAAAATAGCTCAAAATAATGATATTTATAATATATACAACTGATACCAAATAAAACTGATTAAAAGAGATATAAACGATTTAATAATATAATTGTAATTAATTACATTCAATGATATGAATTTTTTATAGTTCAAATTGTCACTACGACATCAATATATATACTATGAGAATATAGTATATATACTATGAGAAGTACAACTAAATATTTGAGTCATAAATTAAAATCCTTGTTTAATAAAGATAAGCAACACAAAGCATAACTTTGTGATATTAGCAAAATTAACCAGTGTTTCATTGTACCTCTTTGAAAGTTTTGTTTTTAAACATATTTTGCTGGACTATTGAAAATGGTCTGACAATAATTAATAAAATTTTATATTAGATGTTTATCTTATTATATTAAAACTGCATTTGTTTATTGCGTTATATATATTGAACGAATAAAATTTTTATTTTGTATGTTTTTTTCTTACCTGTGGTACAAATGCTCGTCTTTCTATTAGGGCAGCATGTAGTATGGCCAAGGCGACATGGACGGGAGCCTGGTAGCCGTCCGGGCAAATTCCTCTAGGGTCTGATGAGGCCCATGTGGCCAAGGTCCTCGTAGCTGAGGCTAACAAACCGCGTGGGGCTTCGTAGGAAAGCTGAAAATGTAAAGAACACTTTGTTAACTTACTGAAGGAGAAGTTTATCCTGTCGCAAGAACATTCGATTTGCCAATTTAATGTTTTCTCGACGTTTCAACTCATTCTGCATCGCATGAGACAAAATTTGGAAAAATTATGTGTGTGTGGGAGAGCAGAAATTTGATCATTCTTTGACATTTTCGAAAAATAACTTGTAAATATTTCAAAAATTTAAAAGCCATTCGATGTAGCTCGGAAAGAACTCACGTTGATTATAGTTTTATAAATGACGACGTTAGAAACTTAAGTCTAAGAAACATCCCAAAATATTGTAGTAATAGGAAAAATAATTTTAATTTTAAAAATTTTTGTTATCTAATTTAATTTATATAATTTTTAGGACGTATAGTAATACTAATAAATAAATCAATTATATTAGTTACCTTCAAACAGTTTCTTGCCAACGATTCTGGGAAGGCGCTCGTCCTTTCAGTTGTGAGCCATAAGCGGAAATTTTCATGAGGTTTTTGAGAATTAATCAGTTCATCCAATGATAGTAACCACTTTTTAACCAAATGTACGTTTTTCAAACATACCCAATAACCTTGTGAAGCGGCCGATTCAACTACGCGCATTGCTAATTCCTCTTGACCTTCTCCCATAGAAATCTGTAAAAAAACAGATTTATGTCGTACATTAGAATTTGCATCATCATTTCTTCCAAATAGTTTACAGGGTAGTTAGTATGCGCATACTTTCATATGAATTAGTTATGTTCTATAAACATGGCATGTCGTGCGAAGATTATATGAAGAAATCAGCAGATGTAAATAGTATTGTGCAGAGAGTAGGCATCTGTGATTTCAACTTTTCAATATTTCTTAATATCTATCTACCTCTTTGTAATCTTGCCCAACAGTACTGTCTGCTAGTTCCTTAACTTCTTTTGAAGGATCAGTACCTGGTGATGCAATCAGAAGAATTGGTTCCGAAGCTATGGATTCCGAGAGAACGTGTCGCAATTGCGTCGACAGAGGTGACAAAGATTGCAAACCTATTAAAATATTAAAAAATATTATGGATTCAAAGTTATCATTAAATATTCAAAAGTTTACCCAGGATATTTAGAACACAATGATTGATAGCAGTGTATAGCATATCAGGTTTCAAAGCTTGTAAAACCAGCACGGTCTGGAAAAGTGTTATATTAACATGGAGCTTTACTTCATCATTTACTTTTGACAACGTTGCTTTCCAAGCAGATTCGTTAGTTAATCCTAAATTATTGTACAAATCCGGTAAAAAGACCTGAAAAGTAATATATTTTTTAAAACACAACACAAAAAAATAATGTAGAAATATGTACTTTTAGGATGCGAATATTCTGTGCTTGATGTTCATCCAGCCAAGTAGGAGTAGGGCTTATATCAATATCTTCATTATCGGCGATCATTGCTGATCGTTTTGTAAATATATCCCATTCCTTAAAATAATTAATTAATTATTAATTAGTATTAGATTATAATAAAAAATAATATTTCATTTTAACTCACTATTTGTGGTATTTCCTCTACATACAATCTTCTTATTAAATGAAGTGCTACTACTAATTGCTCATTTTTAAACATACTTCGAGCTAAGTAGTGATAAGTCAATTGCGTGATTTTTATTTTGAATTCTTTACCTTGGAAATCTTCTTTACTCTAAAATTGCATCAGTTCATTAGGAAATAATATTTAAAAATATTTGTTTTTATCCATGGTTATTTTTTACCTTTCCACAGAGAACCTTCAAGAAAAGCCTTTCGAAAGCAGCTACTGATAGTATGCACAATGGATACCCTTTGCCAAGTTCCTGAGCAGCAAAAAATGCTGTACTTGCTATTCGGCAAGGTTCATCGTAAATAGAACATTGGCTTTCTATTTCTTTTCGAATAGATTGAGATTCGATTAAAGACGAGTCTATTTCTGCACTGCTTGTTTTGGCTTTCTTTAGTGAATCTAGTAACTCCTGAATAAATATCATTAGTAGACATAAAAACAGACTCTATATTAATCTAGCAACATTGTTTCTACCGGATAAAAAAGTCAAGAAAATTGATAAGTTTTGCATGCCGAAATCAGTAAATATTATATGATGATTTGAAACTAAGCATACTATTAGGAGACAAATAATAATTACATGATTTTGAAGAATATCGCCTTGTGCTTCAGCAAGTGTTTGCAACAATCGATCATTAAGGGCCATTCTTTTATTTTGTAAATTTTCTTCTTGTATCCATAATTCTTTTTGACGCTTTTCCAAATCTGGATTCAATTCTAACAACGCTTTCTGTACTAATTTCGCTATAAAATTAATAATGTTGAAAAACATTTCAATACTTATGTAAAAAGTATACGAATTTTAAATTTTATACCAGCTAATCCTTCTCTCGTTGTGGAAAAATTAATCATTGTAACTAAATCTGCAAATTGTTGCTTGTAATTTCTTGTAGTCAAAATGAGTTTGAAGTCGCTATGCAAATCGATGACGTGATTACCCACCTAATGAATGAAAACTCACAGTTTGGTAAAAATGTCCATTTCACTTAATTTATTACCTGTATTAATGTCCTGTTTCCTTGCATCATAGTTTCATTTCTCAACAATGGTAATAAAATGCCATCAACTCTGTCTACTTCTGTAATAAGAAGGGTTTTGCCAAATCGAGCAGCTAATTCTAGATTATGAATTAATTTTGGACTGCTTTGTGATATCACATCAGTTGTCTTAGATCCACCTTGTATGTGCTGTACAAGCCAAGGAAGAGCAAATCCTGATGGGTCGACCACCAGAGGAATGTTGATGCACTACAATTTAGAACATTTATTTTAATATTTCTTTTGAAAATATTTTTATTAAGTATAAATTCAATGATACATTCTACCGTAAAATATCAGTTGTTAATGTATGAAAGTACTTACTTTTATCAAGAATATAGCATTTTCTATCGATAATTTATCCGATGGTAATTTATTGGAATTCCACTGCAACAACTCTTGTTCAGAGGACAAAAACTTTACCAAAGAAAAATTTTCCAATCCATCTGTATTAAGAATTGACAGCCACTTATCCCAGATCGATCTAAACATATAATATTTTTTTAAATACAATCTTTAATGTTATTCAATACAATGCATATTATCTCGCACTTTCTACTTTCTTCAGTTTCGCTCGGTAAATAAGTGAGGCAAGCTGCTGCTAATGTCGCCTTGACTGGAAGAATTTTAAGTTCTTCTGATTCAACAGTTAATTGATTTTGCCAGTGCATGTATTCATCATGCAATCTTCCAACAAGTTCTTGCGCTGCCCTCAAAGTGTTCTGTGCAGCTTGTAGTTTTAATTCGATCTAAAAATAATAATGGTAAATGATTAATGAGAAAATTAAATTAGGAATGGTAAATTTGTGTTGTACTTGTGCAGCTTCTTGCGTGTATTGATTTAATTGTCCAGACAATGCAGCAACTTTATCATCCACATTAGATAATCCGCTACTTAACTCCGACATTTGTTCTTCGGCTAATTGAAGATTTCTAAAAATACAAGTTTTATGATCGTCCTCCATCGAAATAATTGTTATTCAATACTCACTGCATCAGTTGTTTGTGTTCCTTCTCTAAAGGTTTTATCTTTTCTACGACTTGGGCATATTTCACATTTGCAGTAACCCATGCTGCAAGCGGTGCAGCTGCTGCGGATGCCCTTTGAGCTGCTTTTGCGGTGAATGATGCCGATTTATTTTTAAGTAATTGTTCGACTGCTAATCTGCTATCGACTGTTATACGAGTTGCATCAAACATTTTGATGTCTTCCTGCAAAATATATAATTAATAAATAGACTATCAATGTATATCAATATGAATTTGTAAAAAAGTAATGTTTCCACCTTTATTCCTCGTTTTGCGAGGAAGCTTTTCATGCTATTCCATGATGTATCTAAAATACCCATTAGTCTAAGGACTCCTTCTAAAATATCTCGAATAACATCAGGAGGTGCTCTCAAGGACCTGATTTCTGATAATGATTCCCCTTTTATGTCACCAACTGCAGAACGCGCAGCTTGCAGTAGCGGTTCTACTTCTTGGAGTTCTACATCAATTTCTTTTTTCCTAGAATATTACATAATAGTTACTAAGTTAGTTTTGTTAAACAATTGATATAAATACCTTTCCATTAACAATGTATTTTTCTTTTCTGTTTCTTCACGAAGTTTGAGCATTTCGCCTCTGTGAGTTGTGGCACTTCGCATAGTAGCTTGTATCATATCCAATGCTTTTGCTGCTTGTTGCCTTTTCTCAGTTAAATTTTTATCCTATTAATTCGAATAAATTACTATACTTATGGATATCTTTATTGAAATCAAAGTGACTTAAATTTATACCTGAACAGCGGCATCAGCTTCCAAACCAGCAACCACCGATCTAGCTTCAGTCAATTTTTGGACACCAGCCTAAAATTAGTATCAACATCAACATTCAATTTTAAATTGTCAGATTGCTTTTAAAGTACCTGTAGTTTTTTCTGGCTTTTCATAATATTAACTGTTTTTTCTCTAAAAATTTTTCTGTAGGTTTTAATATAATTTAAAAATCTTCGCGAAGTGGCTAGATGTCCAGTAGCTAAATGTAGATCAATAAAATTACTAGGTATTTCATACTTAAATCCTTCTAGCGGTTCTTCTTTAGATCTGTACAAAATAGAAAAACAAAAAGTATAAAATTGGATACAAATTGATATAGCGTCAGATATTTACATGTCCATTATTTTTTTTGGCATGTCGTTTAAGACTTCTTCGCTCCAATCCGTTAAATTTTTAACACAGCAATTACGGAATAACATTGGATTACTTGCAAACAAAGTGTTTAATTCAGCACCATCAATATCTAAGCAAATTGCTAGATGTAAATTGTATTTTACTCCTAAAACAATCATAAGAAATAATTAATTAAATATCTATATTAAAGATCATTTTGTTAATATTTAATTTTATTATTAGAATAGATTATAACCGCAAAGATTATATGTATATAAAAACACAACCATATATTAAACAAATATTACAATAGAGTTTTTCTTAAAAAAATAATTTTTATAAGAATATTCATTTGATTCATCATTATAAATCTAAGGGTAATATTACTCTACTTACTTTGCATAAATAACTCTACTGGCGTTGCAGGTTCGTTGGCAAGCCCTGTAAGGTAATCTCTTAATGGTCCAGCAAGAGATTGCAATTCTTCTCCATATAATCGTGGGATTTCTCCAGAACTTATCAAGGAGCCCAAAGGTGCCATTATTCCAGGCACGGAATCTAAAGCGTGTTGTTCTATTACAAACCATACTGGCGTGTTGTCCAGCGCCGCTGTTTGCATCGCCTACAATAGAATGATTAGAAAATTATTAATTTAAAAATTAAAAATGGAAAAAGTATATTTTGTTTTACTGTTTTTAAATCTGCGAATAATTCTTTTAAGCCGTAATTTTTGCTAATTATTGGATAAATCAAATTAGCATTTCTCAGAGCTGAAGCTACGCGTAGCGCGGCTTTTCTTCCGCATCCGTTTTTATTTAGCAATACCGCATGCCCTCCATTTTCACCTAATGCTCTTGAAGTTGCAGAGACGGCGTATAAAAGATCTTTATTTATGACTAAATCTAATAAGATGTTATCTCTGCCTAAAATATAAAAATTATAGAATTCAGTCTATTAACAGTATCATTATCATCTTAAGTTCATCTAAGCTAGTTACATAAAAATATAAAGTTTTGATGACTAATGTAATTCTAAAAGACTTACTAAACTGAGTAATCCCCTGTTCGACCATGTTGAACCAATCATCATAGCTTATCCAACTCAAATTTTTAAAACTTTGGGTTTCCATGCAGACAAAGTAACCATGGTTAATTGATCCAATGCTTCCCCAATACGTAGTCATTATTTTTTCTAACACCGAATTAAATGCAGATTTATCTGCAGTAGATGTTAACTTGTCTCGGAATAAATGGCACAATTCACGAGCAAATACCTAAAATAATCAGTATGTTAAAATTATCTTTTAAAATAGTTTTTAATGCGTTTTAAACAGTCAAATGAAAATTAGTAATTTTTTTTATTAAATACTTGTAAAAGCCAAGAAACTGCCTCTTGTTCTTTCTGATCCGCCGTGTATAGCAACAAATTCAAACACCACTGTGTCAAATCTCTTGGCGTCAATGCATAATGGACATATTTAGAAGAAGAAAACAGAGATTTCAGCTAAAATATGTACATTCAATATTATTATTAGCAATAACACAAAAGTAAATTTAAAAATAACTTACTTCTTCATATATGTCCAGCATAGTTAATGTCAATTTATCAATTTCCTTCGGCTTCGACCAGTGTGAATGTTTTGGTAGCAAATTATTTAATATAATATTTAAGTAAAATGAATAAATTGTCTTCAAATCTTCTTTGGAAGGATAACTGAAAATGTAATACATGAAAAAATAATTAAGGGCAAGAAGTACTCGCAAGGACAAGAATCAATGTATAGTATTTGTTTATTATTATGAAACAAAGTATTGTGTTTTTCTCAAATATTAATTACCTCAGTGTACAAATATTAACGATTGATAAAAATCTAGGTGAAAGCGAAGAAATAGCTTGATCTTCCACTGATGCAATAATTTGTACATTTAATAATATGACCCAATCTAATTTTTCGTCAAAAAATCCTCCATGAGTGATGATCTGGAATTTATCAAAATATGATACGAAGAATCGGTTTGAGTAATTATTGATGATAATAATAAATTGTTGCTTAGTTTACCTGGATAAGAAGTTGAACTACCATGCTGGTCCTGCAATCATCACAATTCGCTAAATCTAAATCTTTAAAATACAACATTAATTTTTTATATCGCGCTCTGTATTCTTTACCACGTGTTCCAGTAACGACAAGGCAGTGCTGAAACAATACAAAATATACTAATATCATAACTGGACAAATCGCAAAATCCTGAACTATATAGAAATTTACCTGTTCTAATATATCCAAAACATGTTGAGCACTCAAGAGATCGTTGCAATTCACAATTACCAGTTTTATATCCTCTTGCTCTAATATAATGGTTTCGACTATAAGACGTTCCCCGCATCCTGCAGGAGCTACTATTAGTAAAGCATCATTTTGGTCACCATTTAAAATTTTTTTGAAGTTTGCACAGGTAGCTAGGACGTCTGGAGTTTCAACTAGTGGTAAACCGTTTTTCCTTGGGTCAACTAAAAGATATGATATATAATGTAAAAAGTTTTGTCTGTAAAAATACCATTACACCACAAATGTAAGATTTTCTTACTGCTTGTTGATGGCATTCTCAATCCGTATATATCTAAGCGTTTAGTTTTGTGATTGAAATAGCTTTGTAAAGGTTTGCTTTGGTCTGGAAGATATTCACCAATCCAATCAAATACCTAAAAGTGAATTTACATAGAGAACTTGAGTAATATACAATACAAAAAATAACTGATAGAATTTCACGAAAATAACAACATTTCATAAATTCTTTAAGCTTACCATTCTTGCAAATTCTCCTCTTGCATCAGAATCTAAAAACCCTCCAAGACCGCTAACAAATTCTATAGCTAATTCTTGTTTGTTAGAAATTCTATTCATCCTGTTTAAGGCAGATTTCACAAGGCCAACTCGCGAAGGACTAATAGACCTAATGAAAAAATAATTTATGTCGAAAGTATTTCATTAAATTAACTATTCGATATATAAGTACTTGATCTCGTTTTTATAAATCCAGTCCAACGCATTTGTTAAATTACTTTCCAAGAAGTTATTTAAAAATTGACGGTTAATTTCAGGCTGAGTTTGCAACCAAGAAGATACTAATAACTGAACATCTAAATCATTATCACTGTAATAAAAGATAATAATATAATGCAATAAATGAAACCTAATTGTAATAATTGTTGACTAGCATTACCTAAAATGAATAATGGCCAATCTAGAAACTGTAGCTGGTGATGCATGTACCAGTTCATGTGTTTCAAATAAGAAATTTATGTTATTACCAAATTGGATTCGCCAACCAGATGGCAAAGTTAAAATTTTATTATCATCCAAAACCGAATTCAATGATTCAATCCATTCAGGATCTATATCGCCATCGCAAATAACCCATGACCAAGCATCTAATACAAAACAATTGCAAATTTATTAAAATTAAGTATTCAAAATTTTATTTAAATTAATTCCATTTGAAATTTGTACCTTCTGATTCATCATGAGCTATCTGAGCAGTTCTGGTTAGAACTCCGTCTGTCCATTGTCTGGTGTCAGCATCAGTATGACCCAAAAGCATTTTTTTCGGTAAAGCTTTTGGAGATATAGTATGACTTTTTACTCTGTTTGATAGAAAACTCAAAGCCTATGAGTAGAAATCAAATGAATCAAACCATTTGAAATAAGAAGAGTATTTTTGCGTAAAACATACGTGTTTTAGTAAATTTATTATTGTTGTTTTTCCTGTTCCAGAGGGACCGACCAAAACGACACCCATGCGTTGCTGAAGTTGTTCATATAAATCAAAACATTTTGAAATCTAAAGATTTGAAAAATGTGTTACTTGAATAACTAAGTATATATTATCACAATATAGTTATAAGTTCGGTTTCCTTCATTACCTGAATAATATTAGGTTGCAAATTCAATTCAACAAATGCTTTCTGCAAAGCTATTTCTAATTCAGCGTGATCAAAAGTTTTAAAATTAACTCCAGAAAAGACATCCTTAATCAATATATTAAACCTAAACATCCAAAAACAATAAATAAACAGGTATTTCAAATAATTTCAATTTATTTCCAAAAACATACTTGACGCAATCTGAATGTGTTAGTTTGGATATCGTATTAACTCTCAAACCTTGAACAGCAATTTCAATTTCTAAATCTTCTGAGACATCACCTTTGTGTTGTTTTCTTACAGATGCTAATGTTCTGCCACACCATCCAAGAATTGCCTTTAGAGCTCTTAAACCCCAATCATAATGTTGTTGAGGAGAAAGTAATTTACTAAAATATAAAAGATTTATGTAACTATTTACAAATACAGGTTTGTGTCCGATGCTTTTGGAGTTAGATTGTTCTAATTGTTCGACAAATTCAATTATTTCTCCAAATTATTACAAAATATCTAAATGCTATATCTTTATGCATATTCTTATCTTACCTTGCCAGATCAAAGAGTTCCACAATTCGATCAGCAATTGTGTCAGCACAACGAAATCCTTCCGCAAAAAGTAAAACTCGTGCAATATCACTCGGTTTGGGTGAAGCCATCACTACAGGTCGAAATAGAGCTTGTAGATTTGCTGGTAACCTATTTCTACCCCCATATGCAGCACCACTCGGGTTCAGAGTCACAAATACACCACAGTTAGAATCTAGCAAGATCTGGAAACACAAAATACAAATTAAGTCATTTTTTTAATTTATCTGGCTGATTAGTCTGTGAATAGCACAAACTAATGCATAATTTTACCTTTTGTCCTTGTAATTCAAGTTCTGGATCTTTATTTTTTATAGCAGCTTGTAAAGGCTGTAATAACATTGATACTGCTGATAACGTTGCTTCCTGAAGACGATTGAACTCATCAAAACAACCCCATGAACCGCAAAGAGCTAGCCCAGTAAGTATTCTGCCCATAGCTGTTGCATCTATACCCTGAAAATATAAATATTTTTTTCAATATTTTTTGTCACAAAAAGGACATTAATAAATATTATAATTAGTTTAATCAAAATACCTCATCACAGTTAAAAACAAGAACATGTCTTCCGAGCATGGACCCCATAGATTTAACGCACTCTGTTTTACCAGTTCCTGCAGGTCCAACTGGATTTGCTCCAAGTCCCAAATTCATAGCCTTAGTAAAGTAAATGACACAAAATTAAGTCAAAATATTAAACAAAAATGATTGTACGAAAGTACTTTGAACAACCTGAGTCAAGATCAAATAACATTTATGGGTCAATGAAGTATGCACAAGCCTTGGACTATTTCCTAAATACTCATAACTGTATGGAAATTCGGCATGTACCATCCGAATAATTGCACACCCTTGCTTATTCAAATAGAATCTGAAAATAAAAAAATGCAGATTACATTTGTAATCATATAAAATATGCTTCTAAATGAAAGTTTTTAATACCGAAGTTGACTAATCCAATGCCAATCTTGTGTACTGGAGACATTATATTTCAAAAGATCTTCGACTATTGATATATGATGAATGTGCTCAATTAGCAAAGCTTTCAATTTCAAACCAAGAATCTTTGTTTCTACAGAATTTTCATTTGGATTTGAACTACTTAAATCAAGTGCGCTGCTTGTATAGTTATTTAATTGGATCTGAAAACATTTTAAATATAACAAATACTTTATAAATTAATTACATTGAATATCAAATGATTTTAATGTTGTGTACCTTGAGTTTCTCCAGTAAAGAATTTAGAGATCTTTCATTAATAGCCTTTTCGCAACGTGTAGTAAAATTGATGCATTCTGCAAGACATAATAATTGTGCCGGAAAATCTAGTGCTTTATCGCCACTTTCTGACGATTGAACACATTTCACCAAAGTTGTACGTAATGTGGAACGCATTTCGTTTACCAATTCACCTAACCAAATCTGTAATGATATATGATTTGTATTAATATTCATCGTACTAGTATTTATCAAATATATCACTGATGAACATAAATAAAAAATCACATTTTTTGACGCACACATACATATGTACAATGATGGTTTATTAGTATAATTAACTTCCCGTAGGGCAAGTTATAGTAATCGCAAAAAAATCGAAAATGAAAATTTTTATATATCTTCACGTTTCAAAACTTTCTGAACATTTTGGCATACCTTAGAAAAAATAGATGTATGTGTGTGTGTATGTGTGTATGTGTGTGTGTGTTCGGATACAAATTTTCGTCGACGATTTCGGGAACACGGTTGAAGCGATTTGAATAATTTAAAAAACATTATATTCGTATTGATAAGAAGACGTGCCGAGTAGTTTTTGGCAAAGGCAGGTCTAGCCGTTCCGAAGATATGGAACAAAAAGTGCCAAAAACGGTAACTCAGTTTTTAAGAGAACAGAGCGTCCGATTTGAATAATTCAAAAAACATTTTACTTGTATTAACAAGATGAAGAACTAATCAAATTTTCAGGAAGTAGGTCTAGCGGTTTCGGAGATCTAGTAAAAAAAGTAAAAAAAAAAGCCATTTGGTGTTCAAAAATGATCATTAGACATATGCACATCAAATTATCAGATATTTTATAGAGATTTTAACAATAAGTATAAATTTTATTTACATTCCTATGGGTTTCAAAAATTGTTTTCTCAAAAAAAAGTAAGTTTTTGTCAAAAATTTATAGTTTCTCAAAAATCAAATTTTTTTCAGAGTATTTTTTTTTCAAAAATTTTTGGTACGGGAAGTTCCAGCAATTTGCCTTAAGGCACGATGCCATCCGCCCTACTAGTTTATTTTTATTTCCTGTTATGTGTGTATTTCTAATTTTACCTCAACTGGCCCCGTCATTTCCACGGGTTTGTCGAGGGTAACGATTTCCCCTTCGGCGCTGCATAGTTCCGTTACTCTGCGCCCGGTGTCTCTTCCGCTGCCTTTGACGGTGACCGAGTGGACGCCTGCGAACAACTTGCGCAAGTGTTTCTGCAGGGCATCTTCACGACTGACCACTTCCAACAGTTCTTCGTCGCCGAGGAAGAAAAATCTTGGGAAAGCTGATCTTTTAGACTACGAAATTAAAATAGAGGTAATATTGTAGCTAGAATACACTGGCACACACATATATAAAATTAAATATGAAATCCTTGATTGAGTGTTGCTATCAAATTGAGTAAATTTATAATTTATGGCTAATATTCTTGGAAAATAATATTTTGCTATATCATAGTATAAACTTTTCAAGTATTGATGTAATTATTAATTAAAAGCTAAAGTTAGATAAGTTAAATTTATTAGATTGATTGAACATCTAAATCACCTAACTTTGGTTCTTTTATTCAAAAGTTGAATTAATAAAAGTAAGAGAAATCTATTTATTATATGTCTTTTACACACCCAAACATTATATACGTAATATGTATGTTTGTGTGCGTTAGGGTCTTGCATAACACTACAGACTTGTTTCGAGAAATTTTACATGATCATTTTTCAGATTTATATATCTTTTAGCAATATGTTTCCAAGTGAAAATAGCCCTTGCCCGGCATTACTTCACCAATAAAAAGTCAGCCCTATTAGATTAATTCTAATAACAAAATCATCAAATATGAATGGATTAACCATTGGGTTACCATCTAAAAAATACGAAGGAGAAGTTTCAGCCCAACAGCTCATAGGACATAAGGTTCTGATTGCTGTTAAAAAATATAATATATATATTATATATATATATATATATATATCTTTGTATTTGTATAATTACCACAATTATACTTAATACTGAATATTCCAAATTTTGAAAAATTGTATTCAGACAATTAAAGTTGGCAAATGTTAAATTAAAATTTAGTATTAAATTTAATTAGTATTAAATAACAAAATTATACTGAATATTCAAAATATTGAAAAAATGTGTTCACATAAAGTTGGCAAATGTTAAATATAAATTTAAGTATTAAATAATAAATTGAGAATTCTACCGTGAAATTCAAGTCATTGCAAATTAAACTATTTTTTAAGAGTAAAAATTATAATAATATTATATAGTATAATATTTAGATCTGTAGTATTATTTAACGCACATATTTTCGTTCAAATATTTAAATACACGATATGATAAATATAACGGTATTTTCATTTTTTCCTAGCAATCTGCTTTAATATTTCCAATGTACATTGAAACAAATGCCGGCTATATAATTTGAAGTTAATTTGCCTTTTTGTGAAGTTTTGACAATTTAAACATTAGAAAATAAAAATATAACAAGTATTAAATTTATTACAATGAAGGATAAAATAGTTAAGTTATGCAGATCATTATTTTCAAAGAAATGTATGAGTTGCCCGAAACCTCCGAAGACGACTGTGCCAAAAACAAATCCAAAATGGGCTCCTAAAGATAAGGTAACTCACACAGGACAAAAATGGGACGACGATGATTATCGATTATGCAGATTTGTCAATCATCCAAAAATTGTGAATCCAAATTTTCCATTGCCCTTTGTATGCACTGTTAATAACAAGGCGATATATACAACTTTAAGAATTGTGCATTGCGATGGAGAAGGAACACATCCACTTATTTTCATAAATATGGATAAACCACATTCAATTGGATATTGCAGTTATTGTCATAAATTATATGCAAATAGTGTCAAGTCAAAATTTACTGGAACTTATTGCGATTAATGTAGTAGAAATAAAGTAATAAATTGTGGGGAACAAATGTGTTTGATTTCAACAACTCCTTCATATGTAGGCAAAGAACAATAAAATTCAATATTGAATTAAAAATTGAATTAACATTTTTTGTAAAATTGATCTTTTTATATTTAACCAAGTATAAAACATAGAGTGTAGTCTTATGTATGTCGTCAAAATTTTTAAAATAGGTTTTTCAAAAAAAGTTTTAAAACTTCTAATTAAATTTATTACCGCTAAGAAGTCATTCAGGCTATTTTGACAGAGAGTCAACTGCTCAAGAAGATTTGTCAACAAGGCGTGTACGTTGGGTACTCGGCACAAGGTGACAACACGTGGGTCTCTTGATGTATGTTCCATTATATAACGAAAATCTCTGTCTAACCGCAGAAATCTTCCTTCCTCTGACCTCAAAGTACCAGCTCCAAATACTGGTTCCAGATAAACCCACCTGAAAACGTTTTGAATATAAAGCATTAAGAATGGAATCTTAAATTTTTGCTAAAGGATGAATATATTGTTATAATATTGATTTCTATTATAAAAATTGAATCATGTATTGTCCTTACTTTCTTTGTATCACATTTAGCTTTGTTAAGTATTGATCCAAGTCATCCAGTCGTCGTTCCCAAATTTGAGCTTGATCAGCAAACGCTTCGTAGTTTGTAGAACTTTTTATGGATTGCAATAAACATTGATTATCCCCAATCTAATAACACACAAATTAAAATCAATCCAAATAGTTTGTGGCAGTAAAAATATTTTCAGAGCTTACCTTATTCAGTACATCTTGATAATCTTTAATAATTTCTATAGAGTTTCCTTTGGTATCAATATGATGCCCTAAAGATAATTTTGCAGTTAATCCCCACTGTTCAAGTTCAGTTAAAGCTCCTCTAACAACTTGCTCAGATGCAGCTTGTTTTGCAATTTTCTAAATAAAAAAATGAACAAATTGAAATATTAAATCTAAATTATTTGTCCAAAACAATTTACCTGCAGGTCATTTGCGGAAGCGATGATGTTGCCAGCGACTGATAAAAAATCACCGAGAACCAATGCTTCTAAATTTTTATATGGTACACCTATTAAATTCAACACTTGTGTCCAATGAAGTGTTGTGAATGAATCTCCGTGTAAGAATTGTATTGCCGGTAACATTGACTGCAAAAATAAATAAAATCAACTTTTATATGTAATCTTTATGCAAAAATACTTCATCGTACCTGATAGTTATCAATTTCTTTGTGTATTCTATGAATAATTGGATTCATTTCAACATCTGCTAACTTTTTATGCCAAGAAGATAAAAAGTCTTCCAGTTTATAAGCACGTTTGCGAAAAATAATCCACTCTTCTCCACCGATCTCGGTTAACTCTAACATAAAATATGGCCATGTAAAAAATATTTTTAATTATTTAGACAAAGTTAAAAATGTACCTTTTTTAAAATCACCATACATTTCATACATTTTCGTTTGTCTGCCCATATCATTTTCGACTTCTTCACAAAATGATAAATCTGGTGGATCAATATGAAAAGTCTCGCAATCCAACCTGTCAAGAATAACGAATATAATCAAAGACATATATTATTTATTAAACATCTTACAGAAGCTGGTTTTTCTGTTCCATTAATTGCTCCCAATGTAACGATTTATCTTTTAAACTATTCATAGATCGGTCTAAAGAATCCAATCCTTCATCATCGGCATCTGGTGATGCTGCTTGCTGCCAACGTATCCAAAACTTTTCCATTTCTTCTTTGAGATTATCCAATTGTGAAGTGACTACTAATTTGATTTCCTCAACCTGAAATATTAATATAAGTATACAAATACTGAAAAAAGCTAAAACTTGTTGTTAAATAATAGAGTAACTTGTTTTTCAAGAACTTGACTATGGTTTTTGAGTGTATTTTGAAATCTCTCCCAATTATTAGTTAATTGTGAGATAATTTCAACACGTTCTTTACACCAAGAAGCTAACGTTGAGTTCTTTTTTTGTATACTGTTCAGAAGATCTTCCATCTAAAAAATATATTAAACTTCAGTATTTAAAATAAATATTAACCTTTCTGCAAAAACATCGTCAGAAAAAACACAATTTATGTAATTGTATTTTAAATATTATATAAAATACCTGCTTGTTGCTTTTAATTATTTTTTCATGACGTTCAGTAGACTCCCTGATATCTTTAGACGATGTTGCCGGTTGTTGCAATATTTGCATAGATTCTTTTACAAAAGTTTCCAAAATTGCAACGTCCTAAATATTAAATATACTTAAGTAAACCTAGTTTTTCTCTTTTGACTATTATATTTACCTCTAAAATTGAAGCCCGCAATGATGTTGATAAGGCATCCCAATATAGGCGACTATGCGACTCGATGTTGGTTCTTAGCAACGACAAGTTGATTTTAAAGCATTCCACTTTTTCTTCAGAACTATTATATGTATAAATCAAAAATCATTTTTCAGTTCAGCTTATATACATTTTAATTACAAATTCTTCATTTACCTCGTGAATTTGGCAACTTGTTGACAAAATGCTTTGCAAGCTCGAAATTCTTTATCCCAATGTTCCCAGTTTGTGAGATGTATTTCACATAAAGCATCAATATCTACACATCCAAAAGCCACCCAAGGTTTCCAAGAATTTTTGAATTGTTCTAGTTTTCCAAAAACGGTTTCTGCCCTCGCAAATAAAGGACCAAATCTATTTGCATTACGATCTACCATTATACGAAAAATCGATTCTGAGGGATCGGAATATTCAGCAAGACCTCTGAATGTTAATGGTATTGATAGAAATTTTTTGAGTTGTGTATAATAACGCATTCTTATTTCTTCCATTCTTGGTATGAACTGTAATTGTTGTTGTCTGGAAATATTGATAAATAACTTTACTCGCATATATTAAATATTGGAAATACACGATTCAAATTCACTTTACCAAGTTTTCCTAGTTTCCTAAACTTGCTAAACATATCTTACCTAAAAACAAGGTCAATTGTGATTTCTGGCAAATATTGGTTCAAATCCTCAATGCCTTTTTGATATTGCACTTCCAAAACTTTATATAATTGATGATCCCAATGTAATCGCCAAGTTTGTAAATTTTTATAACCTTGTCCTTCAACTTTTGTCATTACATCTCGAATAAATTTAACGTTATCACGCCATATATCTTGTTCTTTCAATAAATCAGCATTTAGTAATCCTATGACCTAAAAATAAAATTTTGGGAGTTTGGAGATCATTATAGTTTGGGTGTAAGTTAACTTTACTTTCAATGCCATATTTCATTACAAAAACTTATAAAAAATACCATCAATATAATTGTTTTTCAAATGCAACGAATTTAATTAATTTTTTTTTTCTTATTTTATTCCAATCTTTAAAAACTTTCAGCAGCATCCAATGAAGCTTTGATTAAACTTAATATTAAGATATATCGTTGAACTCTTTTTGTGGTATTATAAAACCTCTAAAAATACCAAAATTCACCAACTTTACCTTTTCACGTATTTTAATGTGCTGTTCAGCTAAAATATTATTATCGTTTGCCAATTTTTTTGGCAACAGCTCGCAATTCTGCCAAATAATCTTCGACACCAGGATCTCCCCAAGAGACCGCGCTCTGACGTTCGACCAGGCGCGAAAGCTCCAGGGCTCCTGAGAGCATCATAGGACGCTGGGAAGGTATCATACGTTCGCCGATCGTGTTATGTAAATTTGCAATCTGAATCAATAAATAATAATAAATTGAAATAATAAATAAGCTTATTTTTTCAAAATTTCAATTGCCTAAACGCCATAGTAATGTTGATACATGTTCAAAATATGAATACTTTACTTCAAACCGATTTTATTCAGAAACAAATACATATTTTCAAAATCTTACACCGGTTAGCTCTCACAGGATTAATTACAAATGCTCGTAAAAAATAGTATAAAACCAACCCAAACACCATGGCAATTTAACAGATGAATCTGTTAGTTCTCTGAATGGAATAAGCATTAACAATAGACTATATTTTAGTAAACACTATATCAGTTAGCAAGAAAACATTCCATGTCTCCATAACGTAGAAAAATATTTTAAACAAAAACGAAAATTTAATCTACCTGTTCCAATGCTCTAGCATTTGCTGCATGTTTACTAGCAGCTTCAACAATACCACGAATGGGTGGAGGGATAGGGTACCCGAGGGCAACTAGACCTCGAGTTTCCGAGGAAAGACTCTCGAGGCGAGGGCTGTATGTGACCCTCATCCAGCTGCCACCCATCAAATTGAACAACGGGCGCTGTATCATCTAACCTGTTTGATAAATTGGTAATCAAATGTGTTGATTATTAACTTATTATTATTATTTAATTATTATGGCAATAATTATCACATCAACTACTTGGCACTGATTTTTTTTACTGAAGATTGAATAGCAAAATGATAAAGACAAGACTAATATATTAACATACTTTACTTCATTGGTTTCAATCTCATGAAGTGTATCCTCACACCAGGTATCATAAGTATTTTTCATAACGCGTTGGACCTCCTTCAGAAGCCCATTTGAAGCATTTTCCAAAGGTTTATGACCATCAAGATCTTTCATTGTTGCTATATTTACTTTTTGAACTTCTTTAACCTTTTAGTGAATATTAAATATGAAAGAATACTTAATTTATTTGTTTGTAATAAGGTAGATATTCCGAATCATTTCTTTATTTTTTAATTATAATCATGCATAATTTTCGTTTAGATGCAAAATTTAACATTTTTAATAATATAAAATAATATTTCATACCTGACTTTCAACTTTTCCGCACCATTGCAAAGTTTGCAAAATCATTGGTATTTCCTCTTCAGAATTTGGATCAACTGGAGGATTATTTACTTGAGACTCCAAATTGTCTACAAGTCCTTGTAAGGAACTGCATAACATTTCTCGTTCTGGTTTGAGGGCATTTTGCACACCTTTGCGACCCACAATAGACCCGCTCGAGGAAAACACATTTAACATCTTGAAAGAATTAATACATTTGGTAGTACATCGATTTAAATTAATAGTTAATGATATCAGTAATAATCATGTACTTTTGTTGGATCATCTTTTACTGATAATAATCTTGATTTTATGATTTCTGACAGACGATCATCAGCTGGTATCAAAGATAGCTCGAAGGTTTTTATACATTTTTGCCATTGATTTTCAGTGTACGTGTCAACATTTAAAGCCTCCACACCTAGAGAGAAATTTGAACAATTATTATTATATTTTATATCAGTGTAATTTTATTTATTTTTTTTTTATTATTTTGAGATATACCTTTAAATGGATTTAAAACAGTCCCGATTTTCAGAACTGATTGATCACTGAATGGTAGCCAACGGCATATATTTGTGTAAGTTTCTCTTATTGATTTAATCTGAAATTAACAGGAATAAATAATAACCAGGATACTATTATATATTTACTATCTAAATATATAGTTATATAATTAGGTCATAATATCATTTATATTAATTTCATTAATTCCGTAATATTTTCATAGCAATTTGGTGTATTATGTATGCTATCTTATTTTCAAAAAAATATTTTAATTGTAGTATACTTACTTCTTTTAATCGTTTCGTGAAACTAAGGCAATATTTTGCGTTGTGTGGAGGTCCTACAAAAAATGATTTTATTTTGGCTTATTACATTTTTAGATAGTATATGAAAAAGTGTATATCTTGCTAATCCCTATAGATGGAATTTAACTGTTTACCTTCTATAGAAATTATCATAATCAAATTTGAATTATAAAAGATAATAAAGAATTTTTTACTAACCAACCCACGCATGTACGCTATAATTAGACCAAAACAATTTGGTTAAAGATTCGCAACATTCCAACCAACGTTCGCAAAAAAACAAAGCACTTTCCAAAATTTCTCCAGGACTTTCTTTGTCCCACAATGGCAAGGACGATAAGCGAGACTGACAGTTATCCACAACAGCATGTCCTATGATAAATGATTATTTATTTAATACAATTACTATTTTGCATTCAATAATATTTATATTTTTGGTTACCTAAAGTTTCTAATAATCGTTCCATACGCACTTGAGGATAACGCGTGGACAAACGCCAGAGATCATCCAAGGAGTTTTGGATTCCATCCAGTATATCTTCTGCTTCAACAAGACTAGCACTGTCTAAATCACTAAGATAGAAAATTATAGTTTAAAATCAATATTATATTTTATAACAATTTTAAATTTTTGCCTATAAAGAGAATATGAAATTAACTGATATTGAAAAATGATTGGGGCTTGGCATCAAAATAAGTTTTAAAGTTTTTATTATTGTAAACCGTACACACCATTTATTTTGTTTATAAAATTTTAGTGTTATACTATATAAGAAGAAAAAGCATTATATAAATCATTATATAAAATAATTAAATTTACATGAAAATAATATCATAAGGTTTTAATTATACCTAATACTCCTTGCGACAGGTTCCAAAATGTCAACAATTGCTTGCGCCTTTTCTCTTTCAGAAGCTTGTTTACCTTTAAGCGAAATCGCTGACCAATATTCGACTTCATCTTGTACGGTTAAATAAACTGCAAGATGAACAAATCTTAATTTATTCTTTGACTATTATTGCTCGATTGAAAATAAAGCAACTACTTTCGGAAAAATATCAATAATCAACTTAATCGATAACAAAATTAAGCAACTTCTAAAATCATCACTAATACCACATTGAAATTTGGACACGACTCATTATTTCAAACATTGATTATTATTTATATATAACGTATCACTTCATAAACTCTTTCATTATACAAAGTTTGATGCAAATTAACGACTAATTACTAAAAAACCGCCCGATCGATCTTTACCAAAAACTAATACACAATTTCCAACTGATACCTGATAAATAGCCTTTGAATTTTAAAAAATGATTCAAGATTTTTGGCTAAAATTTTGGCTTAAAATTTTTGGCGAGTCTTTATCAAGTTTCATCAAATGTTATTTTCAAGTAATTGGTGATTATAGTTTCGGGTCAATTAAAGTTTATTCATACCTGCTGTGTCTCCTGAAACAATAACGTTAGCTTTCAGACCGGCTTGCAATCCATTCACTAATTCAATGACAGAAGAACACCAAGAATCCTGTAATGTTATGAAAAAATAAATATTTTCTATTCAAATATTATGAATTCTGTGAGCAGATATTGTGATGATACTTCACAACTGCGTGACTTATCTATATTTGATACATTTTATTATTAGAATTTCTCTAGTAAGGATGATTTTATTTTGGTGCAGCAATACAATGAAAGGGTTATTTTTTGCTACTACCGATAACACTACGACCTGATATCAGGTTGGTCAAGGTGGATATCGAACCTGAAAGCTTTTGATTAAAACACCAAAAAAATTATAAAAATGTTTCAAAATAAAATGAAATGTTTACTATTTTTGAATTAATTCTTGAAAGATGTCTGAAGCTAAAAATAGGATTTATATTGATTTAACACTAATATTGATATATTTCAAAATTCTAACATATATATATATATATATATATATATATATAATTTTTATATAAAAACCTTTTGAAGAAGTGGTGTATAAACAGCAGTCAAAGCATGATATAAAGAAACACCGGCACTTCCTTGAAGAGAAACCAAATTCAAACAAAAATCATCTTTATTTTCTTTATTCAAAAATTGTTTATAAAAAGCCAAACAGGTTCCTTTGCGGTCAATATCCAAAACCTTTTCAAAAATAATAGTTACATTAAATATCAATTTATTGTAATTGCTCATATCATACATATAAAACTGCATAACTAACCTCTGTTTCAAAATCTATAACACCATCGATTTGTCTAACTAATAATACTAAACATTTGCCACTATCCAAAAATTTTAATAATCCTCTACTTAGTTTCCATTCCTCGTTTGGTTCTGTATCGAAAAAATGAGCTAATATTCAAAACACAATTAATATTAATTTTAATTAATAAACATCATTTAAATATTAAATTTAAAATGCACATACCCGAAGCTGTAATAATAAAATTTAACTGATTTACCATAATAATAAAAAAAAATTATGTATTTTAGTGTAATATTTAGTTATTTTTATATATTTTACGTTTGCCGTGCATATATATAAATATAAAGGGGCATTGTTTGCATTTCTTGTTACCCTGGTTACTGCCAAGTAAAACTTTGGATTCTCTTAATATTAATGTGAATTATCATTAATTAAAATATTTTAAATATTAATGAATATATGAAGTGAACATCAATATACTATATACATATTAAACTGTGCAACCCCGTTAAGACGATAGCGTCTTATGCTTTACACCTGGACCGCCACATTATCTTTATCGCATAATACCAAAAGTCCGATTCCTAGAAAATTGTCTTAACGGGGTTTCACTGTTGTTTAGAGCCTTATCAAAGAACCCAATTGTAATAAAAACTAAAAATCTATTGATATAATATTCATTTATACATCATTATATATAGCCTAGTCTTTGTGGTTTGTATGTAAATTAGATATATAAATGTATACTGATGTATATTGATTTATACATCTGTCGGGTGATTCCACATATCAACATTAACACACCACAATTGTATTATATGAGAATACAATACTTAATTGTTAATAATACATACAATGTTTTCAATTCAGTATTTTGTAGTTAAATCTTCTTATCTGTTTGCCTTCGAAGGTGTTGGCTTCTTGACCGGTAGACCAGAAATAAGGTCGAGTAAGGTACCAATGTTTATAATATACCTGAAGCCTGACCCCCTCCACATATTAAGGTCCCTAATAGTAAGGACGCTAGGATACCTCTTTGCTACTATTTTGCAATAGTAGGAGAGCTGGTGTCGATGCACATCATTATATATGGCTTAGTCTTTTTAGTTTGTTTGTAAATTGGATATATAAAATGTATATATTGATTTATGCATCATTATATGTGACATATTCTTTGTGGTTACTGTCCTCACGATTCATGTATATTATAAATATATATTGATTTAAACATTATCTGATTTATAAATATAAATTTCATATCAAAACGTTTTGCTTGAAGTGTAGCACATGCAGTTCCTCTATGCATAATCGTTCCAAATTGTTAGTGAACTACGTAGTGACTAACGGGTTTAGGTTAACACAGATCCTGCAATTTATTATTTATTGCTACCATTCAACTTTTTCATTATAGGGATATTTTAAGAACTCCGATGCACCCTAATTCAACCATGTAAACATCTATTAATAAAGTCTATTTGAAACAAACTGAAGCCACAAAGGACGACTAAAGTAGTTGATATATCTCAGCATGAATATTATAATGATGTACATTGCCTTTGTAATTTTGTAAGTAGATGAAGTGATACATCGGTGTAAATGCTTAAATACTAGTTTTAGTTATATATTATGTTTTTTATATTGATTTCAATTTATTAATTCAAGTCAAATATTTCTTCTCTAAATTTTACTCAATTCGGAAATATGAAGCCAAACCATACACCATACATTATTCATGCTCATTTTTAGACACATTTTCGCTCAATTTGAAAAGGACATTTAAATAAAACCATGACTTTTAAATGAATTTTTAAATAGAATTTTTTATTTTAAATAGAAATTTACAAAAAGTCAATTTTCTGCTCTCCTGGGTGAAAAATGAACAAAATTTTCGCCCTTGTTATGCTCGCTTGAAATTGGCAAGGACCAATAGAATCGAATGAGCCCACTTATAACCACCGGGGTAAACATTCAATTTTTTCATATCATCCCCCTATGACACGAAACCTGATGGTCGGTTGTCGGATGCACTTGCAGAATGTCCTTCCAGTATTAGCCGGCGAAAATCTTCGTCGCCTTGGCCGATTCTGGGAGGGCTGGTTCGAATCCGAAAGATGCAGATAAAGTTTTTTATTCGCCAAGTTAAAGGGCGTAATTATATTCAAGCATTATTTATAAACATCATCCCCTGTCCACGTCATTGGGATCCATATAAATGACCTCGACGGTATTATTAAGGGCAGAACAAAATCTCGAAAGATATCGAGTCAAAATGAAAAAGTTGAATGAAAATTACCATAGAAAAAACGTGAAATTTATAAAAAGTCGATTTTCTGCTCTCCTGAGCGAAAAATGGACAAAATTTTCCCCCCTGTAACCCCCCGCTTGAAATTGGCAAGAACCAATAAAATCGAATGAGCCCACTTTCAACCCCCGGGGTGAACATTTAATTTTTCCATATCATCCCCCAATGACCTTGACCTTGACTCAAAATCTGATAGTCGGTCGTCAGAGATGCAGAATGTCCTTCCAATATTAGCCAGCGAAAATCTTTCTCGCCGTAGCCGAATTGGTTAGAGCGCTGAACTAGACTCTAGTAGATCTGGGAGGGTTGGTTCGAATCCGAAGGGTGCAGATAAAGTTTTTTATTCGCCAAGTTAAAGGGCGTAATTATATTCAAGCATTATTTATAAACATCATCCCCTGTCCAAGTCATTGGGATCCATATAAATGACCTCGACGGTATTATTGAGGGCAGCACAAAATCTCGAATGATATCAGACTCAAAATGCAAAAATTGGTCAGAAAATGTTCATAGAAAAAACGTGAAATTTACAAAAAGTCGATTTTCTGCTCTCCTGAGCGAAAAATGGACAAAATTTTCCCCCCTTTACCCCCCCGCTTGAAATTGGCACAGACCAATAGAATCGATTGAGCACACTTTCAACCCCCGATGTGAACATTTAATTTTTTCATATCATCCCCCAATGACCTTGACCTTGACTCAAAATCTGATAGTTGGTCGTCAGAGATGCAGAATGTCCTTCCAGTATTAGCAGAGAAAAATCTTCGTCGCCGTGGCCGAATTGGTTAAAGCGCTGAACTAGACTCTAGTAGATCTGGGAGGGCTGGTTCGAATCCGAAGGTTGCAGATGGTTTTTTTTTCTTGGCAAGTTAAAGGGAGACAGAGGCATGTGAAGTTATTGTTAATGCATGTACCAAATTCAATCAGTTGTTGACCAGCGATGGGGTGGACGAGATCGTTAAATGGCTTCAGTTGCAATGGCAATCGTTCTTGTTTTGGGTGAATTCGAATCCCCGAGCAAATTTATTAAGTATTTTATTTTATTTTTTCAATAAATCTTGAATGAATATTTAAACTTCTTTTAGTTTTATTTACTTTTTTGTGTAATCATCATTGCAAAACAAATTTTTGAACTGAAGGATTATCAAATACTTTTATGAAAGCTGTTTTTCATAATCTCTCATACCAGGCACCTCTGTCTGACTGAGATATGAAAATAATGTATATATATAAATAAATAAATAAAAAAAAATACAAAAATATTTTTATTATAAAGTAGTATTTATTTCAATAATATATAATAATAAAGATATATAAAAAGTCAGAAGCCTCTCGAGGAAGTTTCAAAATCTAAACTATGATGATTAATTTAAAATATATGATAAAACGTTTCCGCCCTTTCAACATTCGTGAACACCCGACCTCGTTCTATATTAATATTTTAATAATACAATATTATATTTATTTTTAATATTATTAAAATACATAATTGAATTTCAATAAATGATTATTACGAATTGTAATTAAAGGATATTTAAATTATATGTTATAATAAAGTTTTGAAACTTTATAGAAATATAAGTATACTTATATAGTATTTATATTATATAGTATTTATGTTATATAGTATTTATATTATAGGCATACAAAATTTAATGTTAATATAAAGTATATATGGAATGAAAATATAAAGATAAATTATTTTACGACAATAAAGCATCTTAATCATGATTATAAAAACATGATTATATAATATAATTTTTCTTTTTTTTATACAATGAAATATAAATATAATGCAACTTTAAATTGATTAATAGTGCACTTTCACGAAACTTATGACAAGCAGCCAAAATTGATGATGAATGTAATTATTAGGCCAAATATAGGATAAGCTTACTCTTTCAACTCGTAAATCTCTCGAATCATTTCGTAATACAAAATTACATTCGACAAATAACATAAATATATTACCTCATAACAAATATACAGTAAGATACTGTGCATACTTATCCCAGAATAGTTAACTACATGAATTTTATTTCTGCAATCTCATTGAATGATTTATATAAAATAATTACATTAGATTTTTACAAAAGATTACTTTTGATTATTATAAAATGATAATGTTATTTTGATGCCAGATCGGCACAATGTGTCCTCAAATGTCTTGCATAGTCCATCATGACAGTGGTGTGAGCCGCGTCCACTATAATTCTGGGCAGCAGGCCGCGCATGTCCATGCTCATCAGCCAACGGAATTCCGTGGTCGCGCCGCCGTTCAGGGGTGTCAGGGACCAGCAGCCGAGACGGGTGTAACCTCTGATATTATTAAATCATTGATACAATTTAATTATTAATCAAGATATTATTCACATTCCTTAATAACCCGTTTTAAAATATTTGTCAATGCAATTATCAATTGCGTTCACTATAAATTAATTGGACACAAAATTAGACTGTAATTATTTTCAACCTCAATCTCAGCTAATAAACTTCGAGCAACTTTGTGTAATTTCTAGTCAATATAATAAAAAACAAAGAGTAGCATGTGTAACCAAAAACGCAAATGAAAACGTATTAATTTATAATAATAAAGTAATTAGTGCATAATATATGCAATCAATTTTGTTTAAAGGATCGTTTAGTTTTAATGTTAATTATTCTAGATTATTTATTTCCGTTACAGTTTCAGAGATTTTTAGGTATTAAAATTATTGGCAAGTTAATATAATCTTTTATAACGTGGTATGTACAAGATGTCCCATAACTCAACGTCAAACCGAATTGGGTGAAAGTATTGATCGTAACTACCATGAAAAAAATCAGGAAGAAAAATTATGCCATGTAGTTCGAAAATTATGAGCGTTTTTAGTACAACTTAAAGCTGTTTTAAGACTGTGACTATTACCAGATAAATGTGGTTAATTTTTGATAAATGTGTTCATTTGAACTATGGATCCATAATCCAAAATAACAGTTCTAGCCATAATTGAAACCACAATTGCCTAAAGTTTTCTCAAATTAAGTCTATTAGTTAAACTATAAATTTAAAATTTTCAAAACGGGTCAACTTTAAACGGCTCTCATTCAAAAGAAAAATTACTAAAGTGTGGTTTCATCAAAAGTTTGCGCGTTAGATTATGATTATAAAAAAGTAAAAACGTCAAACAAGATCTTTAGAGCACTTGCCTTATATTACGATACTATACTATATTGTCTTATATTAATATATCAAATAAAAATAGAACATGTTTTCAAGTATCTTTTTTATATCCGTTTCGACATATGATCTTATATCATCTTCGGGGCTATTATAAACTGAAGTACTTCAATTAAATTTTAACTAAATTTTAACAATTTACTATATACTTTGTTAATGTAAATCGAAACAATGTAACGAAATCAGGTCATATATTTATATATACACTAAAATATTTTCGGACTGCAAGATAGAGCTAGAAATATACGTTCCGTTTTGTATTAAAATTGTAGCCATGTCTTACAAAATGATAGTTTTTTTCATTCTGCTAAGTATCATTGTATTTCTAATACGGTACCTGATATATTTACTAGTCTCTGGTCCAAGGGGATGTTCCACGGATTGTCCTGCACAAACCATGCTGGCGCCTCGCATACCGTAATGTCTTAGGTTTACGAAATCCCGAGGCGAAACCAGACCCCCGCCTCCTCCAGCAGCCACTTGGTAACTGATGTCTGTTTGATTATCTATTTTCTACATTGTTAAATTATAATTATTTATGAATAAAAAACATAATTAGTCATTTATTTGTAGATGTAACTTTCCTGCAATATTTTAGATTCTATAAAAGATGGACACCAGTCTGTGACTTGCTCGATTTTATCGAAGAGCTCTATTATTAAAATATCCGTGTCGCAAATAATCTCACCCTGGAAATTGATATTTGGGCATACACACACACATATATATATATATATATATTTATATTTACTTATTTATATATACATGGGTTCACAGTACCGTGAATCTGAAAACTTTTCCAAAGAACGGATGATCCAAATATTCAACAATATCTCCGTTGTCACATTTCTTCTCAGTTCGCCATCCTTCCATATTCATAACTTTATAACAATCATCCAAATTACTTTCTCCTAACCGTATATATTCCTTGTCCTACAAAAATCCTTATTAAAACCAAACGAAAATAAGTATTTTATTGCAAAACTACCGTCAGAATTTTAACACCATCATCTTTCGACATTATTGGAGTACAAATTTATAATTTATATATGATTTTACGTCGTAGTGTTTTGTTAAATTGAATCTAGAATTGTACTCAAAGTAGAAATCATGTGATTTTTATGAAAACTCTGAAGAAGTGGGGATAATAGGATTATAGAAGAATCAATCACATAATTGGATTAAAGAGAGTTCAATGACGCTCAACCCGAATAAATTGAACATCATTAATTGAAAACTACATTTTATAAATTAATTGATGTTAATTCATAATAAATTATCGAATGTGCTCATAAAGATTCTCAAACTAATCTTAAAAAATATAATAACACGTTTAATTGAATAACAAATTTAAATATAAATAATTAATTATACAAGTACAATTTGTGTCTTTTCAAAAACATCTACGTAAATTGTTTACATAGTTTGCTCAAAAGGATACATTTTACACCTGGATCTTAAAAAACATAACATTAATGTAAATACATATGATAAACAGTCAGAACTTGAATAAACATTTTTAAATAAAAGTAATTTTATATATTATAATTTAATAACTTCAAATTGAATACATTGCATCGTAACATCATTTGAAATGATACAAAGTACATACAAAATCTATATCAATTATGGCTGTATCGATTTAGCATCTATATTTATAAATATAATTTTAATTATAATATAATGTTCATGTGTTGATTGCAATTGTTAGTTATATTATCAATTAACTATTATCTTTATCGAATTCTTTCTAAATTTTATTATTTCATTTAATAATTGTAATCAAGACATTAACATATTTATCCAATACAGCATTTGTTTATATAAAATCCTATGTTTATAAATCTACATATTATTGGCTAACATAACGTATACATGTAAATTTGATGTCGTTGTTGCATTAAAAATCTTGCAATTATGCTGTACAAAATATGGATTAAGATTTGAAAAATACTACAGTCAAATATCTCTGATTGAATACTATTATGAAAGCCTTCAACACGCGCATTTTATAGAAATTAAAAATAAATATAAAGATTAATGGCATTCTTCTACAATTCAAAAGTGCCAAAATTTTCGCAAAGATAGTATAAAATTTGTTTTAGAAGTTATCTGAAAAATAACACTTGAAATTCGATCGGCTAATCAAAAATATGTACGAATTTTTAAGTCATTTTCAAAATCAATAATAAATATTATATATATATATATATATATATATATATATAAATTTCGGTCTTACAAAAAAACTCATACACATCTGTTACAATCATATACTTCTAAAGCCGATTGATTTCTTTTTATTGTTAGTAGAATGATTAAGAACATTGAACACCATTCAGTAAATTAACATTATAAGAAATAATTCTGTACATTATTATAAGTCGAAGTGTACTCTAGGTACAAAACATATATATTCTAATAAAATATATACTATATATATTACTATATAATGAAACGAGATACAGTGCATCCATTCACACAAAACCACTACAGACAACACTATATATATGTAATAATTCGTTAGTTCCTAAATTTATTTATATGTTACAATTTCTAATATATCTATAAATTATGCCAGTATAATAGCTATTAATTGATTTCCCTATTTATAGATCAGTTTCTTTAAAATTCATTTAATCATCAGTTTTCTATGCAGTTCAAAGAGATAAATGAAAAATCATTCAGAGACAATAATATGAATTCCGCTAATGAGTTTTAGAGTTTAAAATATAAATACCATTCGAATTCAAAACAGCCGTAATATGTATATTTAGAAGTTTTTAGTTAAAGTAGACCGTAATTTAAAAATATTGCAAAAGAGGAAATGTCGACATGAAATTTACCAAAATGTGCCGCAAAATTTATATATGCATATATTTAAATCGTTGAGATTCGGAAAAATAATATTGATCAAATTTTTTGCTAGTTTTGTTCTATGATATGTAAAGCGCTGTTGAATTAAAAAATAAATAATCCAAAAAAATAAATGAAGTATCATTATTGCTATTATATGCTATAAGTACAGATATATATTACTAAAATATTAGTCTCTCGTTTATTATAGTATATAAAAATATAAGAAAAATATGGCATTGATAGGAATGATATAATTACCAGCTGAATTCGGTTCAATCAGCAATTAACCCAGAAAAAAATACTAGAGTCGAACAAAAAACATTGGAATGAAATAAAAAGTAATTTAGGGCAAAAATAAATGACATATTTTATGTGTCCTGATATGCCGTACCGCTAAATAAATATAAATTCATATATTTATTTCACTATTAAAATTTATATATTTTTATACTAGAAGTCAGTCCATATACCGTCCCTCAAAATGGGATTAGTTTTATCCTAGATCAAATAAAATTTTCTCATAATATAGACTATGACTTAAAATTAAATTGATAAAATATTCTCATGTGTCTTATTAAAAATGTTACTTTCAAGATAGCACAATTTGTCTTAAGATATAATTAACAAAATATACACAAGTATTTTATATTTAATATAATTATAGATACAAATGAAAGCTGATATCTTTTTTTAATGTATATCATAAAATATCTTACCTTTGAACTTTGTTAAGTATAATCTTAAGTAAAAAAGTTACTGCCCATAATAATGCAATCAGCTTCTAATCGGCTTCATGTCGCCTCATTATTTTTTATTCTAAATTATTCAGAACAAATCTATAGATTTAAATACAAAATAATATAGATTTTTTTAAAATCATTAAATGTAAATATTTCTTTAAAATAGTAAACAATATTTAAGTAGTTTATTAATGACTACGAAATATGACATTGAATAATTTATTTATATTTCATATAATTCTGCAGCTTCTAACAAAAAAATATCTTTCAAAAAGACAGCAAAATTATCAAATTCTGACATCATTTTTATAGCTAATATAATAAAATTGTTTGTCCTGTAAGGCATAGTTTATATATCAATGATTTTAAATGTTTTTTAAAATGAACTTTTCGTTTTAAGCTGCGGAATGATAAAAAAAATCTTTACATAAAAAGGGCATGATATTTTTTTGATAAAATAATAAATAAATCAGATTATACATTGTATATCAATAATTAAAATAATTCTTTACTATAAAATAAAATATTATTTGCAATTTATATTTATGAAAATATAATGCGCAAAAAGATATCACTAGATAAAAATATTGAACCGTCATTGAAGAGTAGTGATTTTTATAAAGTATTTTATATTGTGAATGGAAGTTAAAAATAATGGTTCAAGCATTTTAAAATATATATTAAAAATATTTAGTACGTAATTTTTTACACAACAGGTAAAGCAAAAATAAAAGCTTGGTAAATGTAAATTTAATTCTTCACTAATAAAATTGAATTTCTTTATACTTTCTCCTGTTTCCGCGCCCACTTCATTACAAGTATATAATACTTTGAACCAAAATACACTAGCTCTATATCACAGCGTAATACTTTAACGACATCTCAAAAAAGTAACACGCGTCCTAACCAACGTTTTTACCTGTAACTTTTTATTATTGTGAATCTGTCAAACCTTGTCGTTTCTCTTCTTCTAACATGGCATCTAATTCATCGGTTAAATTTGCCAACATGTTTCCTATGTCGCTCAGAACATCGGCTGGCTCTGTACTTTCATGGGGTGTTATTGAATTTAAATCTGCATTTTGTGAACTTGAATGCATGTGGCCGCTTTGTCTGGATAAAGAGTTTGACCGGGAGAATTCTAGGGAACTCTGGTTGCGGTTCAGGCTTGCGTTGGCGCGTTGTTTGATGGTGCCTGCATTCTCGTTGGCGAATGGCAGACTATCGCTTTCTGTACTTGAGCTAGACTGTAATAAAAAGAATAAAATATTAATAAAATAATTTTTTAAAAAAACTTTTCTATATAACAATCTGAATGAATTGCAAATTGTACTAACGTACAATGTGAATCTTGTGAATTTTTATTTTGAATGTTCTAATAATATAAGTTAACTAACTTTAAAACTGGCGTCGCTACCATTACGCGCTTGATTTGCTAAAGTATTGATAAGCATTTGCTCTTCATTCATCCTACTGGTTCCATCTGTCCAAGATCTAGATGGCATTATACCTATAATATCATAAAAAACGTATTAGATATAATTTTACAATTACTTACGTATTTTACTTTTATTTATGGATATTTATTTATTGCATTACCTGTCGGTGGGGTACAAGGTGCTGGTGGCGGAGGTAAAGGCAGGCCTTCACTTTCCAGGCTGACGCAGCTTAAACTATCCGACGATGGATAAGCAGGAAGACTTAGCGGCAGTTGCTTATTAGATTCGTGTAAGCTCGGTAAACTTTTATTAGGTGGAGAATTATTTTCTGCATGTATTTCTACTGTGGTTTGATGTATGGAGCCTACATTATAAATACCTAAAAAAAAAGATCTATAAAAATTTTCACTCCACACACATCGGCCAATGCCAATTTTAATGGAAAGTCAGTAGCAGTAATCAATCAGTTCCTGCAGCAATAGCCTGATTTTTTATTAATACCAAGACAATTTTTACGATATTCTACCCAGACTTACCATCTAATCCTGAATTCGAGCTCTGACGTTTAGGTGGTTGCGGTGGCATTTTCTTGGTCAAATGAGGGCTGTACAAATGTGAATATTTACTAGTCGATGTTGCATATTGTATATATTCATTATAAGCTTGCTGCTGATGTTGTTGAGAATAAGGTATTTTATCATTAAAATCTTGAAAATGCGACTGAGGTACAGCCTTCGTATTGCCCGTGACTTTTGCAACAGGCCTTGGTCGAACAAATCCGCGGGGCCGTGGTAATGTTCCGCCACCTGAAAGAAATAAACAGAGTCAAAAATAAAAAATAAGCGATAAAAGATATATATTGAATAGTTATTATTCTATTTACCTTCGTAACTTGCTAGTATCGAAGCCTCATTTGTCGGCGTGATATCGCCATCATCATATGACCGGCGCCACTGTTGACCTCCAGACAACATGATACTAGAGGGCATTCCAGGACCTGCACCACTAACGTACAACGCTTGTGGTCCACCTTCATTGGTAAACGTAAGGTGGGTTACAGGACCTCTTTCTGTATCCTCCAAGCTTTCTAAACTTTTTCCGCGACCTTGTCGAATCTTCAAAAAAAAAACAAAAAATATATATAAAGTAACAGATCTGTTAAATCTCCATATTCCGAATCCGATACTGTGATGTAATCATTGAAAATTTTCAGTTATACGTAATATGAGTTTCAAATTTGCGATTGGTAAAAAAACGAATTATTTGAAACCTCATTGATGTTGTTCCTACATGTACAAAATATTTAATTTTAGAAAGAAATTTATTGTTCGTTTATTTCAATATACTGATATAAATATAGTTTAAAGAACTGAGATTTTTATCAAAATTACGCTTTGCTTTTTGTTCAAATATTAAATAAAAATTGCAATTTATGATATTAGCTATCGGGTGCAATACAAGTAAGGCACACACATAAGGGTACAAACACAAGTGCAATCGGTAAAGTTAAAAATGGCAAATTTATTAATATTATCTGATACATCAGATAACAAAACTGTTAAAGGGTAACACTATAAAATTAAACTGGGTGAAAACGTTCAAAGCAACATCTAAGTTAAGAGAAGATTTCTATTAATCATGCATATTTCCAAAAAATAACGTGATTTGGATGATGTTAAAAATGCTAGTAGTTGCATGCCAAGTACGCGCGCCTTGCATACTTTTAAAATTGCAGAAAAGAAGAAGAATATTTTCGTAACCCTTGTACTGTAGCCTGATTTGTTGAATTTTGGTATGTATGTCATGTTTACCTGTATGGGAACTATATCATTCATTCCGTATCCCACGTAACAATTTTGTTGGACGGGATGGCAGCTGGCGGTCATCATTCTAGATTGTTGAACCTCCCAGGGTTGCTGGTAAGCGTGTCTCATTGTGTGGATGTAAACTGGTTCATCGTTGATTACACTACCGCAGGATGGAGACCCAAGTGAATCCTGATTTTTTTTTTCGTTTCATTGGTTTCGTATTTATTTTATCGAAAATTCCAATTTCGTTTATTCCAATTAATTGTGTTTATTTTTAAATTTTCCATGTGTTTTAGAAAGGCGCGCCATCAATATGTAGTGCGGGGTTGGCGGGTGAGGTAAATGAAAAAGAAAAGAAAACAAAAACATGCAACAATGCTCTAAAATATCTAAAGGCAATGGTAGAAACATTGAAAAATTCATCTATAGAAAAACGGTCATTTCATGAAAAAAACTATTCGGTGGTATTTTAACATTAAGTTATATTTTTCATAAATTGACCCAAAAACTAAACTTATTATCTGTTCGTTCTTTGATAATACTGAATGAATGTGGATTGTGAAGTTTTGCAATTAACTAAAAATTCTATTTGGTGCTAGCTAGTTATGCGTTTATTGTAATCTATAAAATTAATAAAAAAAACTGCTAAAACTTTATTATTTCGATGCAATTAGTATAACAAACATATCACAGTAGTTGTTAAATGTTAACAATTCAGAATCAAAACTCAAATAAATGTTATCCTCAGTTAATGAATTATTTTCAAAACCGTGCAAAACTTTCATTAAGCCTATATATTGCGAAAAGAATCTATTTTGTTAAGTACGAAATGATATTTAATCAACTTGAATAGATAATCAATAAAAAAAATATTTCAAAATAATATATTATAAATGATCCTGATGAAATATCAAAATAGGAATTACAAAACCACTAGGCGATGCAAATTTCAAGGCAAGTTTGAGAAAAAAAGAGAAAAAGTGAATAAACTAAGAAAAAATAACCTTGCATTTAGAAAATTTCTTTAAATTCTTTTAACAAAATATGCAAAATATTTTGGTCGTCCGATTTGATCAAAAATTACATCTTATTTAAGTTGATCAAATCAACGAGCAATAAAAATTAGCTTTTAAAATAGTTCAGTGCTTAATTTTTAAAAATCTATCAATTGAAAAAAAACCTATCTGATGATAAATGAAATGAAAACAGTTAATGCACTCACCTGAGCAGAACATTGGCCAGTATGTCCCGAAAATCTTTTACCAGCTTGAACGTCTTTTACACGTTTTATGGCTAACATTATTTTCTTCTGATGACCTAATCTCACGATACCGGTCTCTTCCAAATCTTCCCAAGTAAGTTGAGTAACATCTTGTACAGTTTTGTAGCCTTGAGATATCAAAGCCGGTGCATATTCATCCAGTCGTAATAAACGCAACCACTCTTCAATAGACCCCTGTTAAATAAAACAAAAAATAGTTTAAAATTGTAATACCTTGGTTGATTAGTATTGTAATACTTATCGATATACTTACCGGTATGTAGTCAGGTAGATTGTCCGGTAAAACTAATTGTTGAATTTCTGCCTTAAGCCGTTTTCTGTGATTAGGTTTTTTGATTCCGATCGCAGTCAAATCTTCGGGTGTCATCCGAGCTACTGTAGCCAAGTCATAACCAGCAGCTCCAAATAATGGGCTGTATTCTTCATATTGCAATTCAGTGAGCCAAGCATGAATCACTTCATGATCCTAATAAAATAAAACTAGCATTACTTAAAGAAATAGGAAAGAAGTGAATGTAGCACTAGTGGTTAAAACACACACAAAAAAGTATTGAAGTAGAATACACCTTTGGCAAAGTAAACAAAACAGTATTAGTATTGTTATATAACATTTACCGGTATTCCTTGTAATATCATCCTTTCATATCGACCATGTTCCGAGCCAAGAGAACAAGAACTCAAACTGCATCTAGGAGATGAAGCCGATCCAAGAGCTCCTCGCGGTGCTCCCAAATAACCAGAAGCTCTTCCGGAATCCAAAGATGCAGTTGAGTGCCGTGATCCAGAACCAGCTGATCCAGAACTAGATCCTGGACTATCACGTCCAGGCGACTGAAGAAGAAACAACATTTTAAAAATTGAGTTTTAATACATATGTATATAATTCTGATAAATGTACTTACTTGTGTCATGTCTATCCCTTGGTCTTCCTGTAGAGCTAATTGATGATGATAATAAACTGCAGCTTTATGAGTCAGTGTGGGTGGACCAACGACAGTTTGCCCGCTTTGCGGAGGAAACGAAAACGCTGGCGGTTGTTGCCCAGGACCGTAAACAGGAATTCCTGGACTTTTACCTGGTTGTGTGCCACCACTAGCCGTACTTCCATAGTCCGAATGATCATCTGATCAAGGGTAAAAAAAAATTATTTAGGTCAACATAAATAGTAATAAACAATAGATATAATTCTCCAAACTTATTTTTATCAAACATGATTGATACTTATTTCTAAAGCCTTTTGATTATCGGTTTATTAATAATACGTTTTACGTGCGTATCGATATAGCATACTTTTCTATACACCCTGGTATAATATTTTTGCAACATACAATTTACATATTAGAAACATTAATTACAACAACCTGATCATTATTGACAATACGCATTAATAAATATGTGCCTTAGAACGCCTATTTGAAAGTATTCAAATATAAATTATACGGCTTGCGGTTTTAAAAAGAGTTGATAATAGTAGGGTACTACAATAAAAATACAACAAGTTCAAGGAATATTTAAAATTGACCGAAAACTTTAAAGAATGTTCAATGAAATAGTAATTAAATTAAATGTGTAACCAACAAAACAACATATCCGAAAGCATTTCGTTATTCATATTATTTTTATATGCACAATTTATATAATCATAATTGAAATATAGCTCTGTATGGATCAGAAGCATTATCTCTTCTAGGGAAAGTCAACAAGACATATAGTTTGGAGATTTGGTGCTGAAAAATATAAAGTGAGAACGACTATACAACAAATAAAAAACTATTACAAAGAGTGGAAAAGAAAAAAAATCTGCTGGTTATAATTGCGAAAAGAAAACTATCTCAGATCCATATTTGAAGAAAAAAAAACACCTGCGTAATGTCATGGAAAAAAATAGATAGACTGAAAGGAAAAGGACGAGGAAGAATACAGTCTATAAACCGCTTACGCAAGATGAAAAATTACAGAGAATTGGAAGGAAAAAATGAGTTACATGTAAAATGAAGAGCACTTACACCTTGGACCTTCCTTCAAACGAAGCATTAATAATATTTATATATAGATATATTATAATCTGATGAACATTGATTTATATTTATTAATTTATATCGAGAATAAAAATTGTTCGATGGTTATTATTGATAACACTTGCGTATACTTATGAATAATTGAATCGATGTAAGTTAATTTAGAATTACCTTTTATCAAGCATATCATATTCATTAATATTATCTTCGTTATTCTGTTATGCATCAATTAATAATAATACCCGAATCGAAAAATTTGAAGCAGATGTTACAGACTAATATAATTAAAAAGGATTCAATCAAAATAATTTCAACATTAAAAATTTACCTCTAATGGTCGTGGGCGTGTCGGGAGCCAGAAAGACCGCGTCCTCGGCGCTCGCATAGCCAGCTGACCCGAATGAGCTGCCGGACAAACGATACAGATCCGGCACTGCCGGAGGCGCCACACGTTTTGCTTGTGGTGCGGCCTTTGGCGGCCGCGACATACCGCCCACTGAAATAAAAAAAAATACATTAGATATAATGTTACATGCAAAAAAACACAGATTAGAACATATAAATCTAGAGGGATGAAATATTTGCAAGAGAAGAAAAATAGGATAAAAAATGAGATACTCTAAGGAATCGTTCAAGTATTACGTAAGCAGATTTATTACAATTATTTACCCCCCCCCATCCCCCTTGTCAGCAAAAGTAAGCAAAGCTCTTACCCCTCACCCCCATGCTTACGTAAACATTTTACAATTAATGTAAAAAAATAAAAATACTACCTGTGACGTAATCATCATACAGACTCCCCTGCCCCCCATGTCAACCCAAAATAAGCAAATCAACAACCCCCTCGCCCCCCTATAGTGCTTACGTAATACTTGAACGGCCCCTAATTAGTTAGTAAAATAAAATAAATAAAAAAAACCGTAAAGTGTACAATACACTATACAATTTGCTTATAAGTTTATTCCCTTTAATAGAAAGTGATGTTTTGCCTTGTGTGAAAATTTATCCAAAAACTTTTCACAAAATAGTTTAATTATAAAATTTATCCTCAATTTCTATAAACTTATTCTAGAAGTACTCTATGTATTATATTTCAAATGCATAATAAAGAAATTTACAAAAACCGTTAGATAACTGCAACAGCCGGTGAAGATTTACAATTCACTATCCAAATACAAGCTATTATGATTCCATCATCTCTATTTGATTATCATAAAACACATTTTTATCAATGTCTATTATGCAAATATTTTGTGTGATTCTCTCACACTGCATTTTTGACACACTAAACTAAAATATGATATGTATTTTATATAAATTGTACACCCACATAGTTTATCTACAACGAATTTGAAAGTGATAACAATAGATCAAGACAGTCAATAGAATTGTCAATGTCTTCTAGACACCTATGATATTTCATAAGTCGAATTTTTAACTAAATGGTATCTTGTAACGGATTTATGGACTAGGCGAGAAGAAAACTGTTGTTGAAAAGTTGTAGAAATATTTATTAAAACTTGAATAATGAATTTGACAGTCAATACAGAAAATTCATGATTCAGATGGTCAGTCCAGAGATTTTTGTAAAATTTATATTTCTAAACACTCAATCAGAATATTAAATATTTATGTGGTGCTATGAGTTGAATATTAAATTTTACATGAATTAATTGGTACTAGTCGGAAGTAATTAAATGAACAAATAGAATAACCGCATACAGATTCAATAACCATGTTTAAATGTATTAATTCTAATGCCTAAACAAAACTTTATCATGTCTAATATATTATAATTTTGTTAATTTACAGTTAAAACTCACATATGCAAATAAATCATGAGCCACATGACTAATAGATACAAATACCACCAATCCGTGCTTTTGCCTGGTATATATTTTCTAACATATTATATTTATTATCCGTTCTTAATGGCAACTAGATCATTTAATGGTGTTGTAACAATTTCGAAACATTCTTATATTACGGCAATATGTGTTAGTAGCCGAGAACTATATTTGTCAGTGGATAAAATGTTCAACATTTATTAATCAGTAAGAATGCGTTCGCGATGCATTTAGAGGTCAGAGATTAGAAGACACAGGTCGAAGATCACTTACGAAATTGTTTGATTGTAATACTAGTGATGAGATACAGTCAAACATACATTTTAATATTGTGAAAAATTAAAATTTAATATTAGAAATCGATATACTTCAACCAAAGTATATTTCTATTCTATCATAAAATTATTATCATAATAATGGCTTGATTAAAATTAATTGCATTTTTTTATTTGTTTGATCATCTATCGACATAAGATATGACACCAATTGTTAGGAAGATATAAGAGAATAAACCTAACAATCCAGTAAAGTTATTCTTCACAGTTTTCCCTGGCATTTTCAATAAACAAACAACTAGTTCGTTCAAAATAAATTAGGCAAACAAGCCAAAATGAATATCAAACCTGCAACCTGAAATTGCTAAAATTGTTACAAAACGTTTTGAGATATTTATCCATTTGACCCCAAATATTTCCAGAAGTAAGTTAATTATTTGAACGTTTTACGGTTTTGGCTGCGATTAATAAACGCCCTTTGGGTCCATTAATTGAGGCCACCCGCAGTGATCTAATGATCTGAACAAAAGTTAATGAGCAATTTACACGAAGTGGTATCGCGTGGAACTCGATACGACATTTACAAAATTTACCAGAAAGCACATTATTATACACGGAATATTAAAATATTTATACACACATGTGTTGGTATATTTATATTAATAAGTACACCACGTTTTAATAAAATTTTATCATAACAAAGGGTGTGACAAAATTTCATATTAATATATAAAGCACTTTCTAATCATGACTGACGTACATCTGACTATGTAAATCTTGATAATATACATCAAATGTTTATTATCACACCAGTGTTTTAACAATACATATCGACGATTTATCGAAATTTGAAGCAAGATATAAATTTTGATGCATAATTTTAAATCGCGACATGGGCTTATCAGCAAACAGCATGAAATGCAGTTGGCTATAAACCTGTCCAATAAAATTAGATTAAAAAATTTACGAACGCATGTTTTATATTTATAACCGCGTCTTTTTATGAGCATAAAAAGGCTCTCGTATGTGCCTGAGGCTTCTCATAGTAAAATATAATTCAAAATGGTATTTCTTCATTTCAACCTTTTGCAAATAAAAAACTCTCGCAGCAGTGCGAATATTCGACTTGCCATAGATGACTGCGAGAAGAGGAATAATATTCTTTATGGGATCATAAAAATTGAATTAGATTTTGCAATGACAAGAAATGAACATGGATTTCTAGAGACAGATTTATAAAACTGGTAATATATATTCATATATATTGGCCGTAAATCCATATCGACACAAAATTATGTATTCGTAGTAATTATTCATAAATTTATATACTTATATACTCACACAACTAAATTGGCTATATTCTTGCATACATATAAGTAATGATCAAATATTAAATGCACATACAATACAAAAAGAAATCACAAATAAAAAAATAAGTACAACAAATTTTTAGAAAATGCTGACATGTTAGTTATTATATACCAAATTTTCCAGCTCATAGACATCGTACACGAGACGATCTGACGGGCGCTGATACCGCGACTCCGGTTCGACGCGACGTCGGGTAATATTTGAAACATCTTTGTTCTGAATGTCATATGCCGACACAGAATACCCGGAATAACCGGAATACCCGGAACACATCGGGAAAATGCGAGATAGCAAATGTGTCAAGCGCGGTTTCCGTTTTCCCGATCGGACGTCCAAAGTTAACAACTAAACGTCACAGGAAATGTATCCTCGACTTGTCCATTACATAATATATTAATGGTATTTGAATATCACTAAAATCCATGCGATGGAATAGCAAAAATTACTATCCCATAATATAAATATCAAATATTGCAAATATAGTACTAAACTTAATATTTATTTGATTAATAATACTGGGATTATTTGTATGTTTTATAATTTTTATAATGTATTTTAGAACAGGAATCAGAATTCAAGAGTCCTATAAGCTGTTGGGCTACTTTGACCCTATACTACGTTGCTTTTACAGATGGCAACCCAAACAGTTGTCTCATCACTGTGTAATAAATTTTATTATTGAAATTTCTGTAATAGGCCGAATATTTTTATTGCCGGCTATTTTCACTTGGAAACATATTGCTATCTATATTTCCAAGTAAAACTCGATGTCAGAACTGCTTGATATCAACTCCTCAAATCGGCATCAAGGCTCAGTCGCTCTAGTCACATACCCACGAGTAAACACATGTTTTACAAAAAATAAGTTTAATTGAATAAATCTAGTTTACCTTATCTCAAAATAATATATTCAATTTAATGCATCTAGTTGGAATTGAGCCAAAATGTGATTTATGATGGTAACTAAATTGATGTGACTTACGATACTTCTCTTAACTAAAATAGAGTATAAACTCCAATGTATGACCTAATTTGGTACATGATAATTACAATACCGACTATACGAATATGCTCTATCATGTGAAGTATCCAAAAAAATGATTGAATGATGATCAAATCAATATAAAGAAAATATATAAAATATAAAGAAAAACCTTTTTAAGGCATCCATCAAGTTATTAAAAACAAAAACTAAGTCATGTTTAATAAGTTTGTAATAAGAATCAATGTATACACATAAACTGTACTCACTGAAAAATGTAGCTGACAAGCATCTAGTTTATTGAAATTATATTTATTTTCAATTATACATTTTTCGATTATGTTTCTTTATTTATTATTTAAGAAATGAGCTTCCTTAGTATGAATTACTGAATAAAGACACACATTTAGTGTCAAAACGTACAAAATAAATATCTTTTGCTACTTATGATTTTTCATTTTCAATAAATTGTCTACTCACAGTTGCAAGAATATGTTCCAAAGTCGAGTAACAAAATCTCAATACACCCATATAAATCATGGTACCACAAGACGTTTCCAACTTTCATTAAAATTATGCAAAACATTTACATCGAGATTTAATAATATTTAAATCACTATTACCATACTATAACTTTAATAAAGTTTTTGCTCGACGTCTGCTCATTGTTTTATTCGCCACGAATTGTGGTCGATGAAATTGCGCATATATTATATAATATTATTTTACATGTTTAATAACTTTAATAATTCTGAAATAAAATAGTAATAAATAAAATACAAGTCATAATACGAATAATGAAATAAACGTACATATTTACATTTTTAACAGCAAACATAACATGTATTCTATGAAATGTTGTGGCCGAACTTCTTCCTGTTCTCTGTATTTGGATGGCAACCCAACGGCTAACCTAATATATATGCTTGATAGATTCTTGTTATTTGAATTTATCTAATAGCGATCATATATTATCTAATTGGAATGTAATGTCCGAATAAGGCTATTTTCACTTATTACA